ATTTGTATACAATCATCGTATACAAAAATGGGTCAACTAAGTAAGTAAGAGCAAGTAAGCTTTATTGTATCTCCTTTAGGCCCTTTATACCACATAAAGTGACCAAAGTAAATGTGAATAAAATACAGTATATACATATTTTGGTCAACATGCCATTGACCCAGTTATTGACAAAACGACCAAAACTACTGACAGCCCTACACCTTAGTCCCAGCCAGGTTTGGAAAGACTGCAGTGCTGGCCTAACAAGAAAAAAAGTTTCAAAACATATTATTTTCTATGCAAATCTTATGTGCATTCACTGACACACTTAAATAAGCGGTAAATTGAATCCAGCTACAACAATATTTTCTGACATTTTGACTATTTGGGTGTTTAAGGGTCAGTCCAGCATGTTTGTACAGTGTCCTTCATCACATTAAAAGTCCAGGCCAGCTCTGAGGACAGCCAGTTATGCAAAGAATGTCAGCTCACCTCGACTGGAGACACAAGCTCTCTCCACACACACGTGCACGCTCCCGCACACAACCCATGCACACGGCCGTATGCTGCCTGTGCATGTGTGGGAGATTAATGCTGCCTATGAGACTTTCCTATAGGGCCGTTTATCCAGGCGGTAACAGGATATGTGCTGGACGCTGGACGGACTCGTGCATTCCTTCATAACGCTGTAGAAAATGCAGGATTTAAGCATAACAGTAGTGATGACCTCCACAGTGGGGGAGAGTACAAAGGAGTGTAGCCGGACCTCACACGCTTTTGATAATAACATCAGGCTGCGAAATCGTTGGACTTGTTGATATGTGGAGAAGGGAGCATGCAAAAGGGAAAACAAAAAGGCTCGGAACAAATCGATAAATCTATGGTGTGGTCTATGGGCACATAACACGGTGCAGTTAGACCGACGTATGGCCATGTGTTTTACAGCGTGTGGTATTTAATTGCAGTGTAAACTATAAAAAGAAGATTGTCGTGACTATAGACGACTAAAACAATTTGATCAGCGGTCGTAAATATCTCGGGTTCAGTTGTTCTCTACAGTGCATATTTATATGTGTCCAATAGCTATAATACTTGATGGAGTCAATAAACCCTGCTCTGACAACTTTACCACAATTTAAAAAAGATTGCATGTTTGAAAAATATGGAAATTATGGGATTTCATATTTCTTATCAAGTTTTGAGTGCACTGTTCTTCCCTACATAAAGTTGTCCTTGTAAGAAGTATATGTTCAAAAATATAGTATATATTTTTGAACATATAGATGATCATAATCCAACTCCCTGTGATCACTTTGGACGACTCATTTTTTGGTATTTTGACACGTTCCAGTCTTCCCTGCGGTGAAAAGCAGCCAGTCAGAAATAGCAATATCGCAGGTCTTTCAATGCCATACTTCAGTGAATGAACTCTGAATCATATTTTCTCTGGAATGCTTTAAGATAATGTTCCATAATGAGTCTATTCTTCTACACAATTTCTTATCTCTTCCTTCAATATTATTTCTGTGAGAATGAAGACATTGATCCCCATGTGACTAGGGTTTGTTGGGTCATTGACGAGCCCTTGGGACTTTTCTGCGTGGGAACATATGACATTCTTACATATTTTTGCTATTGTTACACCAGTCAAGTGACAAACAGTTTGAAGTATAAGGTTTAAAATTATACCGGAAGTAATGCTTGGTAGTGACCTGAGTCATAAAATTCAAGCCAATTGTCAGACAAGAAAATTAGAGATTAAGATTAAGAGATCCTTTATTTGTCCCACAGTGGGGAAATTTCAGTGTTGCATCACAAGTAATAGAACAGTAGGAAAGAAGAGCACACAGCACACGTTACCTGAACAATATCTGTCCTAATTAAAATAAAACAAAATCTCTAACTCTAGCATCATTAATAAGTATAAAAACTCTATCTTGAAAATAAAAAATATATGTAAAAATGTAACATTATATACAAAGTAATGTGTATTCTAGTGCAAGTAAAATGTGGTTGTATGTTTACATCTGTACATTAGCAGCAGTATGACTTTTTTTTTGCAGCAGTATGTTAGCATCTGTAAATTAGCAGCTGTATATTTATCTACCCATTTTTTCCATTCTGTTCTCATCACTAATAACTGGGAACTGGAAGCCAAACTTAGACCTGCAATTCTTGGGGGCAATCCACAAACTGTCACAAAGACATATCAACTATGTTCTAATTATTTTTTCATAAAGGTGTCTAGAAGTGGTGACAATATTCAAACATATGCGCAATGTTGACCAGTAGAAAACACTTTCAGACGTACGAATAATATGGCAGGTTTAGTCTTATTGTTATTCTCACATACACATTTTTTGCAGTGAAATTCTTTTCAACCTCCAGCAGATGTTCAGTACAGTATTCACAACAAAACAGATACAGTTAGGCCTGTTTTAGCAGTCTCTTATGGCCTCGGGGAAAAAAAATCTATCCAATAATTATCAAAATAATCAATATACATTTTCATTTTTATTTTTTCTTTCAAAAATTGGCTTTATTCCCAGAGACTTGTAGTGAAATTCTAAAACATAAACGCATTCTACTACAAACTTTAGTGCTTGTTTACATTGTGGTTCCTATGGTAACTACCACTGGTCGTATCTGCAGCCAGTGTCTTACCAATATGAAACGTTTAACAGAAATGGTGTCTATGTGTTTTGTGTGAAAGGAGTACAGTAGTCTATCTAGTCCTAGGCTTCAAGAATCACAGGAGGAGATTCGGACGCTTGAGCCAAGAGAGTAATTCTCCATGTGGCACTTGTCTGACCAGTGTGTGCGTCGACACGGCAACGCTCCAGAGGAAACAGGAAAGGAGTGCAGGGAAAGGATGTGGCAGAAATGTGGATGTGTCGTGCTAGAAAAGAGAGAGAGAGAGATGGAGGACAATATATGGGAAATAGTACTGATATTATTGCAGTGTTTGGTTTGAAGGTATTCAAACTAACAGTTGTGTAATATGTATTTATTTTGGAGCAATAATGAGGTATTTCTGCCTCATTGTCTGAATATCGTAATCAAGACACAGTGTAAATTTATCCACTGTAAGATCAATAAAGTTGTACCTTATCTTATCTTAAAGTATGGTTAAACCTAAAACTCGTCTCGTATCTGTATCTCAAACCAACTTCTTTGCACTGTTCATTGAATTGATTCATAATTGAAAATAATCAGATCATAAATGTATTTTATTTGCTGGCCAACCCGTACAAATGATGCTAACTGAAATAAACATTATGCCATTATTGACAGCACAACTCAAACTCATAATTTGAAACATAATATTTCACGTAACAAACTATATGCATAAAAAGTATGGCTTTAAGTATGTGATCAAAGAGATGGAAGATAAACATAAAAGTTCATCACAAAAGTATTTATCTATTCTAATAATAGAATTTCTGTCTGGCAGCTATTGTTACTCACATTGAAATATCGGTGTGAAGGAAGATAAGACAAACTTTGTAATTATTATTTTTGACTAATAGTAGTACATACAACAGTCGTAAACAAAGTATTCATTGGAGTTTTTTGACTGAATGATAGAAGTTGTCAATCTCAGAGGTTTAATGTAAAAACCTCTGAGATTGATTAATTCTAATAAATGTCACTGTCTTTATCAAGAGCTCTAACTAAACAAATAATTGGCAGAAATGAACTATGATAAACAATAACAAATGATCTTTTCAACCATCTCCAGCTTAAATAGTATATGTGTATGTATATATATATAGACATCTTTAGTTTTAGTACATATTTTCAGACACAAGTATATTCTGAGTATATGAAATCCTCTCTGGTCTAGTCTGGAACAGTCTCTCAGCGTGTCGGAAAGGGACATGTGGCTAAATGTTGCATGTTTAGATGAACACTGAGCATATTCAGGTGATCCTCATTAACTGCCCACACACACTGAAGCAAGCCACAAAGTGTACAGACGTAAACAGGTCTTTGAAAAGAGGAACCCTGAAGGCAAGTGGTAAAACCAGGGGGAAGGAGGAGGGTAGTGCGCATGGATCAGCTGTAAAGTATTCTTGAAATGTGACTTTAACCCGAACAAGCACACATTTTGGCCATAAAAGCGTGAATGCAGGCACTGGCTCTATTTTTAAACTCGTCAACCCAATTATGTCAGATTGACCCATTTCCTCCAGTATATATTATTCTAATAATGTTTCTAGATTCTTTTCATTACAGGGTACTTATTCTCTACGCTGCAAAAACTGATCAATTATAAAGTAGTAAATTATTTGAAAGCTATAGTTGTATAGATTATATAACATATTAAGGTTTTTTTTTTTTTTTTGTGGTTTGAAAGCTAGGTTCCCCAGCTTTAAAAGAATATTTGCCAATGAATATATTATTTCATGGGTGTCCGCATTTATTTTCTCATTCCAAATAGCAATGTACATGCCAAATGTATGTACAAACTATACATGTTTTGCTTAATCTCTTAAGACCAAGAACGTTTTACAGAAATGAAGACAGATTTCTACCATAATTCAAGCATTTTTTTACTTTTTTGTAGTTTTTGTTGCGGTGTTGCTTGCAACCCCAACTCCACTTCAAAATCAACAAATTTTCAATGTTTTTTTTTTTGCATTTGGGAAAAGAGAGGAGAAATATCACTACGTTTCAAATGTTTTATGTTTATTATGTAGTTAAAAAAATGTTTTGTGACGTGTATTCCCTTTTCTTGAATAACTAAATGTGACATGTAGGCAAAAATAGATCACGTTAGCTTCAGCAATGTGTTTTTCATGTTTATTGTCGCCCTCTGCTGGTTGACAGAAGTACTGTCAACCACTTCAATAAGGAGCATGAATGAATAAGGAGCAGGGTAGATATTTGAGGAGACAACAGATTCGGTTTTGATTGTGTGTAAAATGTCTATTTCAGGTTTCTGTCATATCAGTGCTGTAATTTTTCTCTAGAAATGCGTATGGTGTTGACGATTGTTGTTTCTTTGCTTGCAGAAATCTTGGCTGGACGCTGAGGATGTGAGTGAGCCTGTCCCCAGAGATCAAGCCCTGAAGAGCGTTAGTTTCCAGGACTCAGTCTGTGTCATCAGTGACCGGCCCGCGATGGAGCTGGCGCAGATCCAACGTGGCCACCTGGGCGTGTCCCACAGTGCAGCTGCTCTGAAAGACACGACCGACACTGAGGTTGTTCAGGTGAGGGCGTTCGCTCGGCAGACTCTGAACATTCATTAACAACTCTGCAATAAGCCTCTCCTTTTCTAATGGCTTCATCTGCTCTGCTCTCCATTGTATGTTGTTGAAGAAATACAGTATGATATTCCTTGGATCTTAACGTTTCATGGGTGATCAGAAAAAAACAATGTATATATTTTATTAAAAAGTATTGTTTTAGGTAATTGATTGATCCAGATGTTTGGTTCATTTGATTGTCTTATTTTGATTACAAATATACATACAGTAAGCACATGCTATTTGTTTTATTTTAAACTTAAGGACTTAAAAATATTTAAAAAAGATAATTTTTTGGGTTGAATGTATCTTGCTTTTAATCCATTTGTATTTAAAATTACAATTATACAGAGAAGCAAGCCTTTCTAGAAATGGGCATTACAATATTTGGCAATGGCTAATTTGCTAATTTCACATTGTTTGCGTACATTAGTCCTTAACAAAAGATATACAATCAATTATAATTCTTTATTGGAATGAGAAAATAATCCTGCCACAGTTGAAAGAAAATGTGTGCATGTTCTTTTGGAAAAACATGTTTAAGGATTTTCCAATGGGACAATATTTTTTTCTTTTTGTAGTATGAAGCAATTGTCTAGTACTGCAAAAAAGTCAAAATTTGCTTGAATGGTCTTCAAGCAAATTTTGATAAACAAGATTTACCAAGAAACTAAGTCTTAATTTTTTAAGAGACAGAACATTCTCTCTCAGATTGAGGAAAATAAGTTTTACAGCTCTTGAAATAACACATTTTTTGCTTGGCCCATTGGCAACTCTTGTTTTAATTAAGACAGCCATAATGTACAGTACTTGAGTCAATTTTTTTTTTGAACTACTTCTACACTATTATTGAATTCAAGCATGGCTTTTGGTTTTCGTACCTAATGTATTGAAACATCATTATTTATGTTTAGGAGATCTGCTACTTGGACCAGGTGCTGGACGCTGCCTCAGATGCACCCACCAACGGAGACTCGACGGAGCACCCCTCTGTGGATGGGTTTACCCTCTGTGCCACGTCACATGACCAGCACTCTCCAATCCACACCAACGGGCACACGGCGGAGGACTACGGTCAGAGCAAGCCCAAGTTTGAACTGAGGGCTTTTCATGAGGAGAAGAAGCCCGCCAAGCTGTTCTCCCCCGGGGACCAACCACCGGTCAGGGTGATGCGAAGGCGGCCCACGGAGGAGGTCAGCAGCTCTGCGATGCATTGAAATAGTTTCTGTTTATATTATTGTCGCAGTAATGTGGAAGGATTTCTCAGTTTCAGTGTTCTTAGTAGAGCTTATTCTTATTTATATTTCTGCATTACGTTGTATGACCACTATTTCCCAGTAGATGCCTAGTGCGGTGCTTCTCAACTGGTGGGTCAGGACCAAAATGCGGGTGACAGGATCATTGTCAGCTTGTTGAAGTGGTACTGGTTGCACCCAAACAGTTACAGCTTCCTGTTTGGTCTAAATTAATTCCAATCTTGAGGCTCTTCATTATTTGTTTAACTGTTATCCTCCAGCACACTTAACTGGCTGTAGTTATGCCAAGAAGAAGGATTGTTTTTGAATAAATTATTGTTGAAATATACTTATTGTACATAGTAGTACAGTGTCCCATGCTGACAACAGCTCAAATCCACAGAATTAAAAAATATATAAAACTTTCCTTTCCTGGAATGACAGTAACTCAGTTTGTGGAGCATTGGCCTTTGAGACCTTTTCCATCTAACGCCCGATGTCTGCTGTCATTGGGCAAGACACTTGACCCCACTTTGACTGAAGCCCGCACTGAAAGATGAAGGCCATGCTGTCACTGACCGAACAGCCGTCCTTCTGTGGACTCACCACCTGCAGGAGGATGAGTGAGAGGCTGGTGCTCTGTGGATTGGGTGCAGCTGACTGCCACCCCCCGACCCTAATTTTACTAAATTCAGTTCTCATTTGGGTCAGGCTTGGTGTTATATGTTGACGGGTGAGTCCATTGTTCCAGCTGAGAACCACTGACCTCCTGTGACATCTTCTGTCAGGGTGTGTACTCTGTGAATACTCTTGTTTAATGGGCAGTATTTCTGGACATAGGTACAGGAGTTGGAGCGTGAGCGCCAGGAGCTGATCAAGGACCAGGCTGTGAAGAAAAACCCAGGCATCGCCACTCGCTGGTGGAACCCTCCTCAAGAGGTACAGCCTGTAATTCAATCAATCAATCAAATGTTATTTATAAAGCGCTTTTCATACAGAAAATCAATGATAATTAACGTTAATGGCTTTTGATTAGGTTGCTATATGTTACTCCCTTTGAGTTTATAAAGGCTCAAAATTGTTCTTAAGTTTTAAACAGACATTTATTCGTCCAGAGGAGAAATGCCAACATGACGAGAATGCCGTCAGAACTGAAAGGAACATAAAAAATTTACATTAAAGCTTAAAGACGGCACTTACACATATAACACATAACACAGAGCAATGGAGACCAAGACATACCTCATTGGCCGCTTTACTCAACAGGGAAATAAAACACAAAAAAGGACTTTCAAAGGGTTTCTTTTCTGATACCCGACATCTTACATGCGTGGACCGAGCGAAGCACCTCGTGGCTTGTGAGGAAATGAAATACAACAAAAAAAGGGGGTGTGTCCAGATAACTATTCCCCAAACATGTTCTATAAAACAAAAGGTTCCTAGTGTCCAAAAATCAGCAAAAAATATGAAATAACTCTAAATTGCACCTTTAACTATTTATAATATTTGTAACTCTTAAGTAAAATTATTGAAACATTAAATAAAATAAATGAGAGTTGCCTCTGCAGCTACACTATACCTATCCACCTGTTGGGCTAATCTTGGACATATAATCAAGGAGGCGGTGTTTGCTTAATTAAAGGTTCCTCTGGAGGAGCAGCTGGACGCAGACCAGCTTGAATCCTTGAAAAAATATCAAGAAAGAAAGCAGCAGAGACAAAGTCATCCCTGCACCTACACACAGGTACAAGTGTAACTTTAAAGCTCGGGCTCCTAACTTTCTTTTTCCATTACTTTTACTGTTTGTTTTACTTTTCTGCACTCTTAACGGTCTATTGTGTGCACTTAGTGCATTTGTATATAGTAAACTGAAGATCTGAAGAAATGTATGTCATTTTTTATTTATGCATGCCTTCTTGTTTTTATTCTGATTTAACTTGTTTGCACTGAGAGCCAAAGCCATTTCCTAGTTTGTGACTTCCTGTTACTCACATGGCAATAAAAAGGATTCTGATTCTGATTAATCATAAATAATATTGTAAAGGTAAAATGTCGTGAACAAATCCGACCACATCATGTTTTCATTGAATCAGAACATCAAACATTCTATCTTTTGTATATTTGAAAGAAAGAGTCCTGTGAGCCATTCTTTGACTCTTTAGGTTGAGAGCTGATTGGCTGAGTTAGGGTGGTCCTCGCTTTTTCACTTTTCTATCTGAAAAAGCAAAGATCACAATCTCTCTTCTATTACTTGCTCTGTACTGGAGGCTTAATTCTTCTTTACATTTTAATTTTTTTGAACGGAAACATTCTTTGATATGTTTTTTTATTAATCTGGTTGTTCCAAAGACTCCTCCCACTAGGAAACACATAGATTATAAAAGTACCCCACTTTTAACAGTGGGAAGGAATCCTTTGAGCATTACATGGAACTTTTCTATTTTAAACTCTGTCCCAATGAAATGTATCGTGTAGTTTTTCACTCCACATTTTCCCATTGCAGCCTGACGTGTGCGGGCCTCCCACCGTAGTGAGCTTTGACCCTCAGCTCATTCGCAAAGATGACATTGTTGAGGAGCAGATCGATTTCAGTTTGGCCCGAAAGCAGTTCCTCCAAGAAAACAAGAAGGACATCGCGCCTCAGATCTACTCCGCCAAACCCTTCGCCAAATCCCGAACCAGCCAGGGCAACAGCGACATCATCACCGAGACCCCAGACAGCCACGTGACCTGGTCCGACGAGGGGATTGGGGGCGACTTCATGTGTGCGCGAGCTGTCATGACCATCGTGCCTGAAGACGAAGAAGCCAAAGCCCAGTTTCAGTCCGGATTTCACCCAGAAGAGTCGGACTCCGGGCTGGACGAGCTATCCGTACGCTCCCAGGACACGGCCACTTTCAGTTTGGATAACATCTCGGACAGCAGTGCGTCACTACCACCCACCCCGCTGCTCCTAACTCCGCAACCCACCACTCCCGTCAACGGGCAAAGCTGCGGCAGTCCCTCCGAAGAGGATCTGGACTTCCACGCAGGAGTTCTTGTCGAAAACGTGATACAAAGCGCGCTGGCGGCTCAGAACGGGGGCGAATGGCGTGCATCGTATTCCGACTCCAGCGCACCTGCGTCTCCACCCGCTTCCAAACAACCCTTATCGAGTAGCCCTCTGCCCGGGTCTTCAAGCAACAGTGTCCAATCTTCTATCTGCTCCAGCCCTGATGTCAAAGCCCAAGAAAAGCACTCCGAAACTCTCCAAACGCCTTCTCCGCCACGCTCTCAGCCGGTATCGCCACCAGCGCGACCCAGAAACGGCGGGCCCAGGATCAAAATCCAGTCTTCTTACGCCAGAGCTCTTGCTGCATCCACTCCCGCGGTAACACCAGCGCCTACTCAAGAAACATCAGTGACCAGACCAGCTCCAGTGTACCGCCCTCCATCTTCCCCAAGCCCGAATAAACCCGAATTCAGCTATTTCAGCAAGTATTCAGAGGCGGCTGAGCTTCGTAGCACGGCGGCGGTGGCAAAAGGCCCGGAAGTGGAGCCCGCCAGTGGGCCGTTCCGTTTGCGGTCCAAGAAGCAGCGCACGTTGTCGATGATCGAAGAGGAGATCAGGGCGGCGCAGCAAAGAGAAGAGGAGCTGAAGAAGCAGCGCGATAACGTGCCTACTGTGGTGGTCAGGGCCTCCAGCGGTGGGACTAATGGAAGCAGCAGCAGTAATAACGGGCCAGTGAGGACCGGAGCGAGGAAGACCACCATAACTCCAGCGGATAAGATGAAGAGCAACAGTCTGTCCACCAGGCTCACGCTGACGGCAAAGACAGCACCAGGTTGGTCATCAGCAAGTATATAAACAATATCAAAAATAGACTATTATGATTGTGTTATATTGACCTTACCGCACACACAACAGTTGCACGTTATGACTAATCCTATATCTTTTTACGTTCAAAGGTTCAATGCTGAGAAAATGTATGTTTTATCTACCCCTTATGGAATTTGGCCATTTTGTTTTGACTTATGATTGAAAACTGTTGAGACTGCAGGTCATGGATTTTGGCATTGCTTCTCAAAGTGGGAGGAATAATATACGCGTTTTTTGTTTTAGTCAATTAGATGTGGATTTGAGTGGCACAAATAAGGAAGAGACTGTTTATGTTCCTGTTCTGTTCGCTCCTCTCACATTTTCGATCGTTAAAATTAGTTAGTAAAAAAAATAAAAAATCCTCACAGATTGCTATCCCAAATAGGGGGAAAACACAAGCACTGTATTTTGGGTTATACATGTTATTAACTATTTTGATAACTTTTTCTTATGTTGATAGTTTGTCGGTCGTGATAGAATGTGGGTCTTTTTAGTTCTGCCTTTTTTTAACAAGTAAAATGAACTGAGAGTAACAAAACATGCGATTATGTTCTATGTAGCTATATCTCTAATGAGTTCTAGCAAAGTTAATTGGCATGCTGAATTATTAGATAAGATCGTTCCTTCATGTGACAGGGATATTAACGGGGAAGTTCATAATCACTATAATTTTAACAAACAAAAAAATGGAAACTGACAAATAGAGCATTTTTTGCCATAAGTGAACTAGAATTGGCCCATTTAAAGTGATTGTGTGAAGACCCTTTGTTTATGATTTGTTTGTAATTTACATTGAAAATTGTTCAACATGATTTTATTTCTAGTACCGTAATTTCTTGTAAATAGATCAAGTTTAAGGATTTTATTTCAAAAATTGATCCCAGAATGACCTACAGCAGTGTTGCAAAGGTTTTGGCTTTCCCCTTTCTGTTTCCAAGAGCTTTTTTTGTTCCGTTTGCAGGGAAGATCGAGAAAGTGCGGCCTGCTCCTCCCGTCTCCCCTTCCCCGTCGGAAGGAGCTCTGTCTGACGCTGGCAGCGAGGACTCCACCGGATCACGGCCCAAAAACTTCATGCAGACGCTGATGGAGGATTATGAATCACACAAGGTCAAGAGGAGAGAGAAGATGGAGGACTCTCAAGTAAGAATATCCCCCAATCAAATACCTTACCGGCGTTGTTACTGTTTGTTAATGAAATAGTATGATCATAGTTTTACATTAGAATCTGTCATTGCTAAACCGCTCTCTGCTTCTGCTGGGATAAGCAAACATCACCAAAAGGGACATTCCCAGACACAGGAAATGAGAGTCTCTGGGGAAATCTCTACTGTACAAGTGACCTAATGCCATTGGATTGCATTTATTTATTTATTAGAAGACATCTTACACACTTGCTCAGATCTTGAAATAAGGTGCTACTAAACAAAAGGAAACATCTTTTATTTAGTCAAAAGCACAAAGTCAAAAAATGAATGAGTTTGATAATGTGCTAATAGAAAGCATACTAGGGTAATAGTATTTTTTGCAGTAATTTTTTAAAGAGGAAACTTATCTTATTGTTTTGATATTTTATGTAAAGACACCAACATATTTATGCCTGTTCCATTGGCAAATCATGTTTTAAGAAAGTCTAAATACTTTTAGTGGAGGGTCAGGTCTGAATGGTTTGCCGAGAATATTCCACAGTATGGTTTTAAACTTACTACATCGGGGACACGTAATTCACATCTCTAGGCAAAGTTACAGGTCATATCTGCGGAAAGGAGAGCTGAGCTAATGTAAAAACGCAGATGTTTCAGCAGTATAATATCGTATGTAAGGGTATGTCGAGGGTTGATATCATTCTGAGGTAGATTCAAGGCCGAGAAATACCATCTCCAAGGCAACAAGCAGACCCAGCCATACAAGCGATGCCAAAACACACACATTTAATCCAGTTTTAATAATTGTATCATTTTGCAGATTAGCTGAATGTTTTGCCACGATGTCCCTTGAGTTATTGCTTTTCTGTTTTGCCAATGACATTATGTGTTTTGCCTCTCCTCTGCTGCGCGGTCAGTACGCCCGTTTGCTGCTGGCCAGTAAAGTGACCCACGAGGTAGTCCACTGATGTGTCCCCACTCACAGACCTGGCTCAGACACACAATAACATTCACTAATGACAAGTGAAGCCAAATAATCAGAATATATGGCAAAAATTTGATGTAATGGAGAACAAACGTATTCATTTCCCTGAAAACCTTGTGTCTGAATCAAGGTCTGTTTGTGTGTCACTGTTAAAAGCTTTGGTGTTGGTTCGGCATGTGCTTATTCTTCAATGTGTTGTGGATTTTCAGCTTTTCTACACACAACTATTTAGAATAAGTAACAAAGTATTAGTAATAAAAAAAACTGTATCTTTATTGGATGGTTTGGGCATAGTTATATGTAATTAAAGAAGGGATATCATACAAGTAAGGTCCTGGGTTTGATTCCACCTGAATGTCCCCCTTATGTCTGGATAGGATTCCTCCAGGTGCTCCGGTTTCCCCTACTACTAAAAACCTGCACAATAGGTCCGACGTGCGCCTTCTGTACAGCGACCCCAATTCCATCACCATGTATGGAGTGAGAGGATGAACTAATGTCTCCACCGTGGGACAAATATAGGATTTCTCAATCTTAAACGCCCACAACAATTGTAAAGCGCTTTGTGACTCTTGAGGGGAGGATTAAAAAATAAAAATAAAATCCCAGGCGCTCTTGACAAATAGAAGAAGGCCCTATGTGGTCGAAACGCGTTGCAAATCCCTGTTCATTAAAGGATTTATATTTTATTTGCCAAGAGTGCCTGCGATTTTATTTCCTCCTCTCTTCATAAGTCTCCAGTGTTTTGCCACTGCGATCCTGATGAGCACCTAAGTTAGACCCACTACAGCACTCATCTCTCTTGAACTTTTATTACTGCTTTGTGACTCTGTTTGTGAAAGGCGCCATATAAATAAACTACTTACTCACTACTATTACACCGCAAAGAAATTAAACTGACATTACAAATCTATCTAACTAGTCTCTAGCTCTCACACAGTCTGGTTCTGTTCTCCCACATGCGTCTATATTTAAGTCTCTATCATATCTTTGATCGCCTTTTTTAAAATAGAAATAGAGTGGACCTCCCTCCCTCCCTCAGCCAATCAGCTTGCAGCCCAAAGTGTCAAAAAGTGACTCACAGGAATCTTTCTTAGTATGCAAAAGATACAACAAATTATTATAATGAAGTTATATAATGAAGTCAGCATTCTGCGGTTAGAGTTGTTCACCAAAGATTATAAGAGTTTCTGTTGGGTCAAAAAATGTATAATTTAAGAAAAAAAAGCTTTTTTTCACCAGCTTTAATTACAGATAAGTCATATCAGATTGCATCACAGATGTAGTATCGCTTTAATGGCTTAAGGCAAGTTCCTATGTGTATTAGCTTTTGTATCTTGTATTCATGTGTTTCCTGGACAATAGGAGGTAACTACACTTCTTACCTCCATTGTTAGATTGTCCTGGGTTCAATCATGTGAGTTTGCATGTTCTCCCCATGTCTGCAAAGGTTTCCTCTGGGTGCTCCGGTTTGCCCTACCTCTAAAACCACGTACAATGAGACAACGGATGAAAAAATCCTGATCTAATCTAACTCCAGCTCTGACAGTTTACAGCTGTTCGTCATCACTCATTGCCCCAAATAGATAGATAGATAAGTATATTTGAAAATAAAATGTTCTAAGAATATTGAAAATGCCAACACTCCCATTATTTGGTTTTAGTGTACCCCAAAGCTATAATTACATCAGCAAGGTATAAATGAATACTGGTTTAAAATGACAGCAAATTAAACACAAAGCTTTCAGCCCAAAGTCTCAATAGTGACTCAGAGGGCTCTGTCTGACTCACAACTAGGCCAAAGATTACATAGTTTCTAATAAGAGGATGACATTCTGTATTAACAGTCAATATTTAACTTTTGCAAGACTCAAGACTGACACAAAAATTACCCCAGACTCACTGTAAACAAGAATCATAGTAAAACATTACTTTTACAACAACGTTCTCAGGGACTGCAGCTGTAGAGGTGCAGGTTGGCTAGTGTTGTATTGTAAAAATGTATTGTCCTTGTATAAATTAAAATGATACCATAGTGTGTTATAACCAATCAAAGAAGTAAGTAATGTTTATTTATATAGCGCATTCTACAAACCAAGGTCACCCAAAGCGCTTTACAATGTTCAGAGTTCAGATGTTGTTCCAATCATTCCACACACGGTGATGACGGAAGCGAGTCCAGAACACACTGGACCATCAGCTCCAGCACCATCCATTCACTCTCTCATTTACATTCATACCTATTGTGCATGTTTTTAGTGGTAGGGGAAACAGGAGCACCCGGGGGAAACCTCAGAAAGGCCCTGTTCCGACTGGGATTCGAACCCAGGACCTTCTTGCTGAGAAGTGAGAGTGCTATCCACTCAGCCACAAGTGACTTGTTCCACTTTCAACATCGCTAATACAACCAAATACTGACAACATTCAAACCAATGTAATTCTGATAAACTCCCCCCCCCCCAAGAATTAAAACATATATCAATGATTATTAAAAATATATTATTATTATTATTGGTTAATATAAATTAAACTACAACAAAAAACAGGATGTTGAAAGGCTACAAAGTAAGTTAAGTAGTAAGTAATCTTAATGTATATATTTTCACAGACCAGAGTCACAAAATGTCTCTTCACATTTCAAAAATAAAAGATAATTTCGTAAATACAAGATATAGAAAATAAACTACATATAGATACAGGAAAAGTCACAAAGTTATGAAGACCAAAGGGTTTTTAACGACTCTAGGGATAATAGACAATAGAAAGCATGCCATTCCAGTGTCACTGTTGGACCCTTGTGCATGCTCAAAACATGTGAAAAAAGCACTTGTGTTGTGTGCGATTGGGATTCAAAAGCATTGTGTGGTGCATTTTTGAGAATTAATTCCACATATTCTTGTCATATAATACTTACTTTTCGTCTTTGAAGGTCCTGGAAGCTACACGCGTCACCCGAAGAAAGAGCGACATGGCCATGAGATGGGAGGCCGGTATCTATGGTAAAGAGGACGGCCAAGAGGGGGGAGAAGAGGAAGAGGAAGAGGAGGAGGAGGAGTAAATTGAAATGCTTATGGACCGTTTTTAAAGAAAGGACATAAAGAACGCGTTGAGGGATAGAGATGGGAGTGACAGTATTTATTATTTTACGTATTCAAGTATTCAGACTATCATTGTGGAGAAGGCTTTGACTTTTGGAAAGTAAAAAGTAAGTCGCACACAAGTACCAGGGAGACTATGGAAAAGGGTAAAGTTGAAAGAAAACATTTTGGAAAGTAGATTTGGGAGCTTAATTTTTTTGTTCTACTATCTATAAACGGATTGGTGACGCTGAATGACTTTTTATTCATAGGATTTCTCAATGTGGGTTTTTTTACGGTTGCTGAAAATTTATTACAAGATTGTTTTTGCGGTGATTCACTCTATTTGTTTTTAAATTGATATAGCTTTGCGGCCTGAGGTAATAACAGAAGGAAAACCAGTGCGTTGACAAGACAAAGTAGTAGAATGGACCAGTGGATGTTTTGCTGAATGCTTTTTGTTATTGTTAAATGCAAAATATGTATGTGTATATATATAACATTATCGTACTCAGCGCTGCAGTTCCATAGGGCTTAGATCAGGGGTGTCAAAGCAGTCCTCAAAGGGCCGCTGTGGGTGCAGGTTTTCATTCCAACCAAGCAGGAGCACACCATACTCCACCAATTTCCTGAAGTGAGTCCAGTCTTTAATGTGGAGACTCGAGGGAATGAGAAGAGTGGGGTGTGTCTCTGGTCTCTCTCTGCTTTCTACCTCTGTTCTTTCTTCTTGGTCTGTCTATCAAGTCTCTCTCTATTCTCTCTATATTCTTTCTCTAGTCTGTCTCTGCTTTCTGCCTCTGTTGTCTCTCTTTGGTCTCTCTACTCTTTTTCTAGTCTCTCTCTGCTTTCTACCTTTCTTCTCTCTTTGGTCTCTCTCTATTCTTTCTCTAGTCTCTCTCTGCTTTCTACCTCTGTTCTTTCTTCTTGGTCTGTCTATCAGGTCTCTCTCTACTCTCGCTATTCTTTCTCTAGTCTCTCTCTGCTTTCTGCCTCTGTTGTCTCTCTTTGGTCTCTACTCTTTCTCTAGTCTCTCTCTGTTTTCTACCTTTCTTCTCTCTTTGGTCTCTCTCTATTCTTTCTCTAGTCTCTCTCTGCTTTATACCTCTGTTCTTTCTCTTTGGTCTCTCTACCCTTTCTCTAGTCTCACTCTGCTTTCTACCTCTGTTCTCTCTTTGGTCTCTCTCTCTATTCTCTCTGCTTTCTACCTCTGTTCTCTCTCTCTCTATCAGGTCTCTCTCTCTTTCTATTAGGTCTCTCTCTCTATCAGGTCTCTCTCCATTCTCTCTCTATTCTTTCTCATCTCTCTGCCTGTGTTCTCTCTATTTGGTCTCTATTCTCTCTCTAGTCTCTCTCTGCTTTCTGCCTCTGCTCTCTCTCTTTGGTATCTCTATCAGGTCTCTCTCTTTGGTCTCTCTCTGGTCTTTCTCTCTGGTCTCTCTCTGGTCTCTCTCTTCTGGTCTCTTCGGAGTGTGGTATAGGCTCCTGCTGTTAGAATGAAAACCTGCAGCCATAACGGCCCTTTCTGGAACCGCAGTGTGACACTCCTGGCTTAGATCTTGCTCTCTGCAATGGCATACTGTACTGTATGTCTTTGTTGTAGTCTGAAGGAGAAAGAATGAATTGAAGGATGGAAGTTCATTTTAATAAGGGCTTTTTAAGTGTGTCTATACTTTTTACAGGCACTTATTTTAGCTTCGGTGGTTACAGTGCTTTGTCACGTTGCGTTATTGTCCGACCTAAGCAGGTTTTTCTTGTTCTATGCCAAGGTCAGAAGGTCTGTCGTCACTTTCCTTACAAAAAAAAAATACATGCAGTAATGCTTCTTGCAAGTGTTGGGGAACTGAAAGTGCTTTGTGAACTATGTTTTACCAAAGGGATGTTTGAGATAATCTTTCAATAGTTGCCTACATTTGAAGACAGGCTGAATGTCAACATCAAAGTCTTTTTGGTTATAGTTAGCAGGAGATGGACACCAGGAAGAATGTTTTTATAAAGAGTCGAATTCATAGTGTTAGCCTTAATGTTGAAGAGGCCGATTAAAGCTAGCTAAAACAGACTATTTGAGCGAAATTACGGAGCCAAATGTTGTCAAAATAGCAGAGTTACCGAGAACCAATCAGGAACGGTCCCGGCCTCGCGCTACTTGCTAGCTAAAGCCTAATTTGGGGAGAGAAGGCTCCCGATTGGTCAGTTGTTAGGACTCATATGGGGATTTACAAAGACAACACAATATAAACACCAGGATCGCAGAGAGCTAAACCACTGATTTTTAAAGCCCTAAATAGTGAGTGTGACACAAACCGTTACTGAATTAGAGGAATTTACCTTTCAATGCTATTCAATAGGAGCCAGAGCGGATAAAACATTGTCCATGAGCACTTCCCTACTGAGCTTCATTGAGCAAGCAATGTCCATATATATACTGTCTATGGTTATATAGAGAATAAACTAGCTAATTTCAGTTGACAAATGAATTATGTATTGAAAGATATCATAATATTACAATAAATCACTGACAATGGATGAATAATATTCTGTGACGTTTTGGTGGTGACGAGCCTTTATACATTTGTCCAACCAAAGATTGCTACTTTGATCGTCTGTCAGTTCTGTTTATTCATAGCGGCCTTTTTGATTACTTTGAATTTGGTTTTTTGAATACTTGATGAATCATTATATACATTTTTGATAGTTTTCATTCCAGAACTGGGCTTGATATTATGATACATTTCTGTCTAAGAAAAAGTCCATATTGATTTAGTATTACGTGTATTCAGTAGACGCAATGTTTTAGGATCGCTGCTTTTAAATGTCCCAATTCTACAGTGAATGTCTTGACGCGGATGAGATTAAAAATAGCACACTCTTTATAGTTTTGCTGCTTTCAAGCACTTGTTTTCGTATGGAAGGACCTAAACAAACTCAACATGATCTTTTCAACGACAATGCTCTTTATATGTGACAAGTAAAATGTGTATTGTGGCTAAATATTGATCTTCTATGTAAGATTTCTGACATTTCTTCTGATTTGATGTTTGAATTCGTGATGCAGAGATAAGTTTATTTATCATTTTTGTTGCTTCACCCATTGGGAGTGTTATAATGTGTGTGGAAGCAAACATAACAGTGTAATAATCTGTTTCTATGTTAACCACTTGTATGTTCATAACCTTCTTTTGTAGCACACGTAAAGCTCACACTTATACACCTGCTATTGCATACTATGAATATTTTCTCATTCAAATAAAATGACTTTTTCAGATGTTTGTGTTCATTCTTGGTTATTCTTTAGCTATTTATATGATCTGAAAGGTTATGTTCACGTGACATCACAAAGTTCCAAAGATTCTATATAGTTTAACATTGTGGTGGAGGGCAGCAGAAAAATCTTTCCTGGTAACTATGGTAACTGTCAAAAGTCAAAAATCTTGTCTGAGGTTAATACTAGAACTCCGAGAGTACTCTTTTTGACGGCTTTTGAGTAATTACTTGGCTCATGTACATTTTTGGTCTTCATAAAAACTCTCACAAACTCTTTGTCAACTATGGTCAAATAACTTTTTAATAAAGGTGACTAGAAGTGGCGACACTATTTAACAAAACATGCATGACGTCGGCCAGTAGAAAACAGGTTTGTGAATCTCATCACTATCAGCACCTAAAAATGGTTCTCCCCTAAAGAGTTGTCGATTCACCAATAACAGATCAGAAAATCCATATTGCGCTGGGGCAGGAGCTCCGGGTGGTAATATTCTGGTGCATACTGGGGTAGCCTTGTTCAGTTTTTCCAAAGTGGGTTTACTGCAAATGGCAAATACATTATTGAATTTTGAATCAAACGGTTCAAACACCATGGAAAAGGAGGATGACCACTGTCCTTAAATGTCCCTGATCATCCCTGACCGTAGACCCTCCAGCATCAGTAACGAACCACTCAAAAAAATAAGTGAGAAACCTCAGGGAGACCCATATTGATGGAGCCTGTGAGGGTTCTGTCTCCAGGGACAGAGGGGCTCGAGATCCAGCACTGAGGAGGCCAGTCCACGTGGGTGCACGCCAGGAAACAGAGAATAAGACAGCGGGTGAATAGCAATGAACGGAGAACAAAAGAACTGTGCCCAGAACCCTGCAGGCGTAATAGAAACACACGTTTGGAAGTCTATTTTATATTTCCATTTAATTTATTTATTTAGTCTTAATTTGAAGGGACAATGTACAGAGACATTAAGCTCAAAGACAGATATGTTCTGCACATGGATCTATTATAACAACTGCACCAGAGTTTAGCTAAACAGCTAGTTTCCATCTGCAGTCCCTGATTATAATATTTTCTTTTTTTCCAAATGTTTTTAAGAATTCATAATCATTTGTTGTGGAAGTAAGTTATTAAATAGTTATGCATAGAGTACAGCACAAAACAAACCCCCTGTGTCCCATCAAAGAGGAACACATACAGAGTGTCTTCCTTATTTTCTTGGCTGGCCTGAAATCTCTCAGTTTCTGTGTCAGGCTGGATTGAGGAAGTGTGGCATGTTAAGACAACAGATAAAGCACCGTCTCAGGCAGGTGCTTTCCGAGCTCCACAACACAAGACCTGTTCCTCCTGCTAAAGTGAAAGTTTATTGAGGTACTGAGAGTATAGATTACTCCACGGCGCGCTGCCATGGCTCTCCCCGGGTGCGTGCGCTCTCTCCGGGCCGTGCTACGTCAGGTCTGGCCGCTGATCGTGCTGGAGGAGCTGGGCAGTAGTTTCTTCGACACCGCGCTTCAGATGGTGGTTTTGGATCGTTCCGCTGGTACCACCACGGACCCAGACAACCACGCATCCAGCGAGAGCCAGCAAATCTTCATCACCAACTTCCACATGATCTTCAACCTCATCGTTAAATTCACTCCCATAATCCCCGCGCTGCTCCTGGCGCGCCTGGGGGACCGAGGCTGGAGGCGCCTGCCGCTCATAGTGCCTCTGGTGGGGTATCTTGTGCCCAGGCTGGTGCTAATGCTGGTGGTCATCTTCAACCTGGACATACGGCTGATGTACGGAGCTGGCGCGCTCTTCGGCCTCTCCGGGGGGTTCGCAGCGTATTGGCCCGGGGTCATGACGCTGGTGTCACTGGCATACGCTGAGTCTGACCGCTCCAAGGTAAGACTGAGAGAAGGGGGGGAACTTTATTCATATGGCACTAAAATATAAGTGACTTGGCAAAGGGCAAATAGTTCACCTTTGCAATATTTGTCTGTGGGATTTTACAACCTTTAAACATGCAGCTTATTATACCATCAAAGGTATATACAGAAATGTCTAGGTCTTGGCTTGCACACTAAAGAAGCACACAATTCATCATGGAATAGCCTGAAACTTAAAACAGTATTTGTTTTAATTAGAAGCTAATAAAACCTTGCAGTTGGCAAGGCAAGGGGATTTATACAGCACAATTTATACACAAAGCCACATATCTGTACTTGCAGATGGCAAAAACTAATAGGAAAAAATATATATAACAATTATAAATGTTCCAATGTGTTCAGAAATGGCTACATTCCAATAAAAAGTCTGTCACAGTAATAGCAAGCAGAATAGAACTGGGTTTTGGCCTCGCACCAAAGTGACATCATTTTAGTCCCATATGAACCAACTCGGACTCTGAGGAGCACATGCAGGCCTCTTGCTGGTGCCCGGAGTCAGAACTAAACATGGGGAAGCTGCATTTCAGATTCATGCAGCTAAAATCTTGAACTGTTTTCCTGAAGATGAGACAGGCTTCCTCTCTGACAATGTTCAAATCCAGTTTAAAACAGTCCGGTTTAGCTGTTCATACAACTGAGGGATTTTATATTTACTCTTTTTAACATATACTGTAATTATGTCTATCTTATTCTGTTCATCACTTTGAGTCGTGTATGAATTGTGCTATACAAATAGACTTGCCTTGCCAACAGCTTTCGATCTGCTTCTCTCCCAGGGCCTGATGCTGGTGGAGCTGCTCTATGGGATGGCCGGCCTGGTGGGCAGTCTGGTTTCGGGACATCTCTTCCAGCTGTACACCTCCAGTCTCAGAGATGGAATCGTCCTGTTGATTGTTAGTTTCATTCTGGCCGTGCTGAGTCTGCTGCACGCTCTGCTGCTGCTACAGGTGAGCCTGCAAATACTACCGTACAAGGTGTGCTATTTTTGGACTTCTTACATAGCTATCTTGCCGATGCAGGAGGGTCTAATGTCTAACTAGAATGTCTATTTTAAGTATACCAAAGACTATTACTCAAAAAGTGTGAGTATTAAGTAGTGGTTCATTGCTGGTGCCCAGAGTCAGGACTAAACTTAGAGAGACAGTACTTTAGATTGTTTGGAACAGTCTTCCTGAAAATGCAAGACAGGCTTCTGCTCTTACCATTTTTGAATCCAGGATAAAAACAGTTTAGTTGTGCATACACCTGAAGGGCTGGATCTTTTTTTAATGTATTGTCATTAAATATGATTGTAATGCCTTATATCAATCAATCAATCAAAGTTTATTTGTTTCATACACAGGGCAACACAAAGCGCTTCACAGTCCACATCACAAATCATCACATAAAACAAACACCAGAATCACAATTAAAACATTAAAATCACACAAAAGATTAAAACCATTAAAACTTTCAAAATTACACAAGAAATAAAAAAAATAAAAAAAATAAATGACAACAGTGCATTAGAAATGGAGATAAAATCCTTCAGTTGTATGCACAGGCAAACAGAACAGTCTTTAACCTGGATTTGAACGTTGACAGAGTAGATGCCTGCCTCACATTTTCAGGGAGACTGTTCCAGATCTTAGCTTCATGGATCTGAAACGCAGCCTCCCCATGTTTGGTTCTCACTCTGGGCACCAGCAGGAGGCCAGTCCCTGTGCTCCTCAGAGTCCGAGCCGGTTCATATGACACCAACATGTCACTAATGTATTTTGGTGCAAGGCCATGGAGAGACTTGTACACAAGCAGAGCTGTTTTAAAATCTATTCTCTGAGCCACAGGAAGCCAGTGCAGAGACCTGAGGACCGGACTAATATGGTCATACTTCCTGGTTCCTGTCAGGACTCTAGCTGCTGCATTTTGAATGTACTGCAGCTGTTTTACAGCCTGTTTGGACAGACCTGTGAGCAGGCCATTGCAGTAGTCTAACCTACTGGAGACAAATGCATGGACAAGAATTTCCAAGTCTGCCCTGGACACTATATTTCTAACTTTGGCAATGTTCTTCAGATGGTAAAAAGCTGTTGATGTTATTGATTTTATGTGGCTATTGAAATTTAGGCAGTAGGGAGAGAGACTGAAGTTGACAAATGACGCCCTCTCTTTGTTTCTGGGGACCAAAGACAATGATTTCGGTTTTGTCTGCATTTAGCTGGAGGAAATTATTTTGCATCCACTCACTGATTTGTTGGATACAGTGAAGGAGCAAATCCAGTGGTCCATGTTCTCCTGCAGTCAGTGAAACATAGATCTGAGTGTCGTCAGCGTAATTGTGGTAGGACACTTTTAGTTTCTTTGTATTAACTGACCTAACGGCAGCATGTAGAGATTAAATAGGAGAGGTCCCAGGATCGACCCCTGTGGTACTCCACAGGTCAGGGCCACATGATCTGAGACGCAGTCTCCAATCTCCACAAAGTACTTCCTATCCTCCAGGTAAGACCTAAATATATTATGGTTTCTATCTTGTTTTGTTCAGCACTTTGAGTTGTCTTCTGTATGAACTATGCAATATTAATTTACTTGCCTTAATTGTTGATATCATCTCATTCTAAAAGTTGGCTTATGGACCCCTATACCATCATTGTGTCATTGGGTTCTTTTGTCGTGTACACTTATGTCTAAATCAGGGGTCTCCAACCTGTAGCTCAGGAGCCACAAGTAGCTCACCAACCCCTTCCAGGTAGCTCGCCAAAGGATTTAGAAATTAACAAATCAAATAATATACTTCATATTTCAGATTATATGATGTATTCTTGTAAATGCAAACTTACTTCGCACATTAGTAATAAATATGCAACGAAAAATACTGACTTTAGCCGACATCAGGCTCGTTCACACCAATATATCACCACATTTTTCCCAGTGCCGCTTACAGGAGTAGCTCTCTGGCGTTATTTTCCCGGGAAAGTAGCTCTCTCACACTATTTTGTTTGTGCAGGTGACAGAAGTTTCCAACAGAGTAGAAGAAGAAGATGAAACCAGTGGCCTCATCCCTCCGTCGGTTTACTTAGACAGACCCATTCAGAGAAACCTCCCCAACATCTCTCTGCTCTTCATAGCAGCCATCTTTTACACCTCTTCTGTGGGCGGGGCCATTAATGTGCTGGGGGCCTACGTGCTTAAAGAGCCTTTGAGCTGGAATGCCACACAGGTAACGATCGTAAAGCTGCGGTACCAAACCCCAGTATTAGAACAGAGTCATTAAATCCATAGTTGTTCTCTGTCAAAACAGTTTGCGTCTGTATTGTCACAAGTTGTTAGATGCATGTAATGTAGGCATCTGTCACATCTTTTCAAATTTTCAGACAGAATTGTGAAAAAGACAAGACCACCCACATTCAGGCCATCAGTTTTCAGTCCAAAGCGTCAAATAGTGACTTACAGAGCTTTCCCTTACAACAATACAATATGTTTTTTTGTGGGCGGCACGGTGGCTGAGTGGATAGCACTCTCGCTTCTCAGCAAGAGGGTCCTGGGTTTGAATCCCGGTCAGAACAGGGCCTTTCTGAGTGGAGTTTGCATGTTCTCCCTGTGTCTGCGTAGGTTTCCTCCGGGTGCTCCAGTTTCCCCTACCACTAAAAACATGCGCAATAGGTATGAATGTAAATGAGAGAGTGAATGGATGGTGTTGATTGGAGCTGATGGTCCAGTGTGTTCTGGACTCGCTTCCGTCATCACCGTGTGTGGAATGATTGGAACAATATCTGAACTCTGAACATTGTAAAGCGCTTTGGGTCATATATCAAATAGTGACTCACAGGGCTTTTCCTTACAAGAACACAAAATGTTTTTTATTTTTTACTTTTTAATTGGAACAAACACCAATTATTAGTCACACCAAAAAGTTAGGTTTTCCAGCTAATTCTAGACTTTTTCACTTTTTTGTGGTCTCTCCCTGTAGGTGGGCTATGGGAATGCGGCTGGCTGTTTGATTTTCCTCACCAGTTTCTTGGGGGTGAAGGTGTTGCGTCCTTTTGTCAGTGAGACCAGTCTTATAATGATCGGTATGCTGTCGTTTACCGCTGGGATTTACTTCATGTCCTTTGTCACCGCGACATACATGTTTTATCTGGGTAAGTGTACCACCTTTGTTATGTTTTTATTTTTTGATCTCAGGTCAACTATAAAGAGACAGTAAAGCACACTTTTGTTGCCAGAATCATCTTGTCGGTGACTACAAGCCCTGATTACAGACAGAACCCACCTAATAGGATGTAGCAAGAAACGATACAAAACTAAAATATTACATGCTGTTCCATTAAAGCTGGGTTACCTAACTTTATTTTAATCGTTTAATCTATGGTTCATGTTTGTCGCAACAGAAATAGTCTTGTAAAAGTAACATGTGACCAAATCAGACAACAAAAAGCCGTTTTCGTGTTCTTAGAAAACATGTTATCTTTGAATAGAGAGCCCTGTGAGTTACTATTTGACACTATGGGCTCAGAGCTAATTCTTGGGTTTCATATGACGTCAGGGCAGTGGCGCGAATAACAAACGTGAAACAGGACGTGACGTATCCTGGAGGTGCAGTCTGCCGGGTTTATGCACGGAGATATAGTAGAAGAAGAAGCGAGGTCTAAATTCCATCGTTTTGTGCGGTGTACGCTTGTAGCCAGGGCTGGACTGGGACAAAAAACGGCCCGGGCATTTTTTCCTTTTTAGCGGCCCAGGCAACTCAAAAGGTTCAAGGAGCCATATTTGACAAAAAAACTACAAACAACATCTGTCTGGAGCCACAAAAAAAAAAAAAAAGCGTTGTATAAGGCTTATATGAAGGTAACAGGGGCTGAAGCTGTATTAGCTACATTAGCTACCTTAGCTACATTAGCTATATTAGCCTAATATCTAAATGACAAAGTAAAGGCTACAAACACTTAAAAACTATTCATGATTATCAAATGTGTGTTTTCACTGCAGCGTGTCCTGGACAGAATGACGCACCACGTGACAACTCTGCTTTAAGTTTAACTTCCATTTTTTTGCCTTCATGCATTTGTACAAATACAGTAAATAAATCTGCTTTTTGGCTCCGAGTTCACCTGCATCACTGTCTGTTCATATCAATCACGTCACAGGCTGAAGTTCGCTGGAGCTGAATGTCCTTAATGGCCTTTTCTTTCACCGTCTTTGCGAAGGTTTTTGAAGTCTGAAAATAGGTGCTCTGACTTTATGATGAATTAATCTTTCAGTGAACAGTGTTTAAAGCTTCATTGTTCCTCCTGTTGCAACAAAACTTTTCATTACATCGCAAACATGAAGCAGTCCTTCCTCATTGACTGAAAGCAAATGTTCATTCTCATTCTTAGTCCAGTCTTATCGACTCTCTCGCTTTATCTTTGGGATCTATGCACACACAGTCTATAATGCTCACACGCCGGTTTGTTTAAAGCAGCGGCCGCCTAGCGCGGGCCGCGTCACAGGATATGACGCACTACGTTGACAGAAATGCTAAAATTGAATATTACTTATACAAGTTTTTGCAGCATTGAAAAACGTTAAGAATGTTGTTCCTCCTACAGAAACCACATTGAAACTAGAAATAAAATATAGCCCTCCCACTCCATTTTCAGACATTTTTGAGAAGGCTCCAGGAGCCACTTTAGGGGCACTAAAGGTTGCCGACCCCTGGTGTATACAGTATGTGCAAGCAAATACTGTAGAGCAGCCATTCCCAAACTCAGTAACACCGAGGCCCCCTTAAAAATCTGACGGGTCTGCGTGGCCCCCCAAAATAATAACCAAGAAGACAACATTAAGAATAGGCTCTTCTGGTTATTTTATTTTGGGGAAATAGCCCCTGCTACAAACATTGTAATACAAAAATGATTACAGTGGATTATTCAAGTCAAATAATGAACACAAATATTTTAATATTACAAACAAAACATTATAAATTTAACATTAAATATATATATATTTTTTTTTATGACCTCCCGCGGCCCCCCTGCAGTACCCTCGCGGCCCACCAGGGGGCCGCGGACCCCACTTTGGGAGACACTGCTGTAGAGGATCAGGATGTCTGCAGTTTCAACAATAAAATAAAGTACAATAGTCTACATTAAACAGAGTAATAAACATGTCCCAGAGTGAGGGAGGTGGACACAGACAACACTATTGTTTGTTACAGGGATGAGAATTGGTCAAAAATGTCTGAAATGCATATTGTCAGCCATTTGCTGGCTCTAAATCTGTTTAATCTGTTCACAACATTTTACTTTTGGGCTCAAACATGAACTTTTAATATAATGGAAAATTTAGGTACCCGAGCTTTAATTTAGAGGAGAGGGGAGACGCGGACTGTTTTCTGCAGCGGTGTATTTATTGGGTGCACAAATTACGAAAAGACACGCATGGTCCTGTGCGCGTTTATGGTCTTGGGTACATGGGCACGTTGCGGCTACGCGCTCACCGTGTTGTGTTGTGAGCGGCTCCCGGTGAGCGGTTCCTGCGTCCAGCTCAGAGCCGCTGGATGCGGGAACACTGCGGCCGCTGAGGTGGTGGAATCCCGTTCGAGTACATACAGCAGGTGCCCCGCGGACATGCGCGCTCCCCTCAAACATTTCTCAACGGATTTACACTTTTCACAAACGTGTTTTTTGTATGACAGGCCGACAGACCGGCCCATATATGGGCATCGGCCCTTCGGGCATTGCCCGGTATGCCCGATGGCCAGTCCAGCCCTGCTTGTAGCAACCACGCAAATAGAGAGAAAGACAAGAGTTTGTTCCGTGTTCCAACTATGGTCTCAAATAAAGGATTACACTTTGAAAAAAATCACTCGAATGAGGCGGGAGAGGTGGATCAAGGCTTTCCCAGATAAGCGCCCCCTGCAGGCCACCCGAATGAAACGCAGCGATTTCTTCGGTTAGTCTTTCCACCAATGACCGAAATCAAGTCTCCCTCCCGATTAAGACTGTTACAACAACCGTACACTGATGAGAGCCTTTTGACTCCAAAACAGACACGAATTACATGGTTATCAATGGGAGCAAAACTGGGTTGTCCCATCTCTGCTCATTCGCCCCCTAATGGCCAGTTTAATGAAACCCATGAATTAGCAAGAAGGATCCTCTCTTTGTTCATGTCTCTGTCTGAAAAAGCTGATATAAATTACTGTATGTGACAGATGCCAAAAATGCATGGGAAATAGAACCAAAGTGTTTTGAGAGCAAGGACAGGCTAGATAGAGTTTATAACCTAATTCAATATGTTGTTTGAAAGCTAGGTACCCCAGCTTTTATAATGCCTTTCCAACACACCATGATATTGATAGTAGAATGTATAACAGTGAAGTTTGAGGGTTGAGACAAGAAACTAACATTGATGTGACTGGTGTAAGATTATTTTAATTCCAAGTGATTATTTTAACTATTCCAAGTGAGATACATATGTTTACATTGGGCATGGCAACTGTATACACCAAACAATAAGTTATGTATTATTTCCTCCTCAGCTCGCTCACTAAACCTGTTGGCCCTCATCCCCATGCCCATAATAAGATCTCTGCTTTCTCAGCAAGTCCCAAAATCTTCCTGCGGTGAGTGTCTATGATTGTTCATTAGACAGAGCTCCAATGTGTGAAGTTATTGCTCATATACTGTATGTATATATATATATATATATATATATATACACAGTTGTGGTTGGGCCTAAAACTTCATATCCTCATGTTTTAATAACTCTTGATGTAAGTTATTTTTCATATTTTTTTTTAAATATTTTTAATTAAAAAAAATAAGAAAACAGTGCATATTTTGTTATTTAGTCTAGTACAATAAGTCACTTTAAATGATCACTGTGTGAAAACCTGCACTACTATTGACACTGTTTCCAATTGACACTTGTCACTTTTGTTGCACATAATTATTGTCACTTTATTGTACATATATATCCTGCATGTAACATGTTTGCACATTTCCTCCTTTTGCACAATCTGAGTGTCCTATCCATGCCAAATGTGACATGTAAATTTCTCCTCTGTGAGATAAATAAAGCACATCTTATCTTATCTTATAAATTCCAATATAAATGGCTCAAACCGATGAATTTAAAACACATAAGATGCATTTTGGATGGCCAGGTTTTTGTTTATTTTGTAGTTTATACACAGATGTGATTTTTGATTCCTGGTTTTACCCAAAGGCTTAATAAAGCATAATGTCAAAAGGTCAAACCAACTTTATTAAAGTCCTCCTTGTCCTGTCTGTGCCTTCTCAGTCTAACTCCGTTGGCACATGGGCAAAAAGCAGGTTTATCTTGTCAACCTGGTTTATATTATGCTTCCCGTAACTGGACAGATTATTACTGCATCTGACTTAGCTGACACACAATGACCCTTGATAAGGATTTTAGCACTCTCTTTAGTTCTGCACTAGCTTTGAACAACATTGACAATACATAGTGTGTGACAATGTGGCAAGTGGCAACCCTTTAAGGTTGCTTTAACATGCTTCAAGATTAAATACAGTATAGTTTATACAGGAGAAACATGTGTGGTGTCACTGACTACAAATGGGGATTGGATTTTATGTTATTGTTGGGTATGTCATTTTACTTGTGGCCCTTCCATCTTATGTGGCCATCTGGCTTGCCCACGTTTACAGTGTCCCCCTGCCAACTTCAATAACACCACCTTATAAGGCATACTGTACCTTGTTGAAGAGCATCTAGAATCCAGTCGATGGCTTTGGTTGACCTTACAGACGTTTACTTGTGATTGCGGAAAGCAAGGGACTAGTTTTGGAGTTTATTACATATTAGAGTTTAATATTTAGCTGTTTGAAAGTCAGGTACACTGGCATAAATAATATAATATTTTATGTTTAACTCCTTGATATTAAAAGTATTTATATTGATGTAGCTTGGGAGAGAGACAAGAAACTAACAATCCATCAAGACTATTGCTCCTCCTAATTGTCAATCATTCTGGTGATGCGTGCTCGTCAAATAAGTCCAGAGAGTTTTGTTCAAAATGTGGAGAGGGCTGTTCTTTCCTAAAATTTGGCCAAATTCTCCTATATACGTTTATCTAAAGTGCATGCCTTCTTTCTAAGGACCTAAAGTTTAGATTAACAGTTCAAACTTGCATGCTAAACTTTTAAGGTGTTCTGCTCTAGTTTCTGGTTTTACTGCTGCTGATATTCTCTGTTATGCCCTCTCTGCTGTGCTCAGGTATGACCCTCACCACGCTGCAGGTGGCGCTGAAGTTTGCAGCTGCGGCCTACATCCCCGCCTCCACTAAGATCTACCAGAACACTCTGGACTGGTTCCCTGGGTTTGTCTTCACCCTGTCCAGCGTCTTCTCTGTGCTGGCCATGATACCCATCAGGTGAGAGGGTACAGTTCAGGTTAGAGTTTGAGTTGAATTAATGGTTGATTGAGTAGGAACAGGAAAGACACAAATGCATGGAATAATGTCTATTAAAAGTTGTTGTTATTGCTACCTGAACTACTTTTGTACAAAGACCGAAATTCATGAAACACAGTAGACATGTAGACAATAGCCAAGTATAGTAACATAAAATTCTTCTATAGTTTAAAGCTGGATGTTTTTTGAGTGTCTTGTAAAAGTCAAATGTTGTGTGATCAAATCAGACCATTAAAGGCTGTTTTTATCTTTTTAGAAAACATGTATAGTTCAGAATCGGAATATATATTGGCACAGTGAGGGCAATCCTGTTTTTTGTTTTTTTTTCACTTTTCCATCTTGAAAAGTGGAACTAAAAGATATGACGAAGGCCAAAACTATTGATCTAACCGCATTTTTTTGAGAGTGAGGCACTAGTTACATGGATTTTGTGACATCATTCCAATTTTGTGGTTAAAAAGTAAAAAAATGAGCTGAGAACCACATTTTAAACATACAGTGAGCCACAATGAAAGTACATTTGAGTGATGACCATGGTAGCAAAAGCCATCAGCCAACACGGAGTCCAGATCTCCCCAGAATGTGTATGAAGTGTTGAAGCAGGCAGTGATAATTAGCTGTAATTACACACGCGTTGTTTTTCTAAAGTGTGTCCGGATTGTGGGCTGACTGTGAAATCTGTCTCACACTCCAGATCTCATGATTTTAATTTGCCATTTCATTTTTTTCTAGCATCGTGGGCTGCCGAACCCAAGAGGAGGATAGGTATGAGGCTATCCAAGGTGACTGAGGCATTGTCAAACCTGACACAATATGGAATGGAAGCAAGTAAAAGTTGTGAGATCATTCCCGTACTTAAAGGAGCAGTATGTGAAAATGTGGCCAAAAGTGGTACTGCAACCTCTCCCCGACTCAGGTTGCCAGATATGTTGACAAATCCAGCTGGGACGGTAATAACTGAGTAGACGAGAAGAGTTTGGTCAACAATGAATCCATAACAACATTCATAAACAACATATATAACATTGTTTTGTCATTAATGATTTGAGAATCATAATGAGACCTTTTACCGTTATCAGTTAAAGAAGTATTCAAAAAGACCCTGGTTTATTAATACCTTTTGACAAATTAGGGATATTCAATGATGACTGGACATGACAATCTAACATATTGTTAATTAAAGTAAAAGTATAAAAGTATGTACAAAAGCATGTACTTGAGTCACAAAGTGTATTGGGCTCCCTAATTTAATTTATGACAATTTAAGAATAGATTTTCTACAAGTTGAGTACGGTTATATATGAAACATGTACAAACATAAGCCATATAGTCATATGAATTTAGAAGCATAGTTAACCATGATACAAAATTTCATGTTGTGTCACCATCTGTACACCACTTAATTGAAAATGTAAGGAGTAGAAATGACAGCTAATTGGGTCTAAAAGTAAGGCATCCATCCATTTTCTTCCCCTTAATCCATTTCTGGGTCGGGGGGTGGCAGTCAAAGATGCCACCCAAGTCACATAGCACCAAAAAAGTAAGGCAGTCAAGTAAAAAGTATAACAAATATTGATACCAGGACAGTATTTGAGCAAAAGTGGATGAACAACACTACAAACAAGGCCCTGTAATATCTAGAGTTTGCCACTAGAGGCGCTGTAACTGAGCTCAACACCGTCCACTGAACGTAAAACCAACACAGTGAAGTGGGGTCAGTGTTGCCAACTTAGCGACTTTGTCGCTAGATTTAGCGACTTTTCAGACCCCTATAGCGACTTTTTTTCAAAAAAGCGACTAGCGACAAATCTAGCGACTTATCTGGTGTTTTGGAGACTCGTGAAGCACGTATTGTTCTGCTGTCCTCAACGTGAGCCCCTCCCCCGTCCCAAAGCACTACAGGCGGCCAGTCTCACAGTAGCCTTGCGCAGCAGTCCCAGCTACAGTCTATGGGCGGAGCAGAGAGAGAGAGAGGAGACTCAAAAGCACAGGAAGTTTTCAGGCTGCTGCAGACTGAACTTCAGCTCCACCACCACCACACATCCAAAGCTCCCCGGCCACTCCTACCACCGCCACCCCCCACTACCCCCCACTCCATCCGCGGCAGCTCTGTCCGTGACTCTGTTTTCTCTCAGTAGTGGGTCACATTAAATCATTTGTTATGCCAAACTATGAAAAAAAAAAAAAACTTACAAAAATAAACCTAAGTAACTCTGCCAGAGTGTGTCTTTTGGGTCACTTTGCCGGTCCCAAGCCCGGATAAAGGAGGAGGGTTGGTTGTAGAGCTAGCATTTTCACCCTACATAACAATCTTTTGATTACATTTGCTGTTATAACATTTAACAATACAGGACAAAACTGATGTGTGTAATGTGGATCTAGACAAAGCATTAAAATCATTAAATGTTGTTAATGTTGAAATTATTTTTGTACATTTGTAGTTCTAAACATATTTAGGGTGTTTTTACTCACCTTTGTCTCTCCCACGACCTTATTCCTCTCTCCTACAGCGTCCGTTACAGTTATTTGCAAATGGCAAATTATGCAAATTAGGCGATGACGTCATTTAGCGACTTCTAGCGACTTTTGGGACAGCCAATAGCTACTTTCCTTACTGAGGAGTTGGCAACACTGAGTGGGGTTCTCAGACTCCAGCTGGTCTGGAATTGAAAACTCACTAAATGTTGCTTTTTTACGTTATTTTGATTCTTTTTTTGTTGTATTATAAGTTGTTTAATGTGTGTATATGGCTATTTTCACTGCAATGTTTTTTAAAAGGGTATTGTGTTTTTTGTTTTTGTAATAGCTTTTACATACTTCTGCTTTCTTATGAATAAAGATTGTATATAAATTGACTGTCTTGCGAATTTGCTGATTTAAACATTAGCCTAAAAACCCTATACAAATGAACACTATGTAATAATCCTTGTTGATTGACTAATGGCTGAAGAAAAATGAATCATAAATATAATAAACTTAAAAGCATCTACACCTCAGCGTACAAAACATACCCAGATGAGTATCAAACGCATTCATTGATTTATTATTGGTCCAATATATTCCAAAGTCTTTTGAGGTAAAGATAATTGCATCATAAAACATGAATATACAAGCTTATTTATAATTACAACAAGTATTATGAACAAATGTACAGGACTCAACGTAAACAATGCACACCGAAGCGAAACAGACACAAGCTTCAACTTTTCATTGGAACATTTTCGATTGGCTGGAATCACCTGTAATCATGTTTATTAGAGGAAGACGGGAGGAAAATAGGGACTTTTGGCTTAAAAAAAGGGAACAAATCACACCGGAATCTGTCCAGACGAGGCATGAGACAATATTACCATGTGTCACTATAATCATGGACAGAATACTTCAATATGCTATGATCATTTCTGAGATTATTACGCTACAATTAGACAAACTGTGTCACAAACTATTGCAGTGTTGTCACTTGATATCATAATAAACTGGGCTATTCTTTAGTTTCCCATCCTGGTCCAGACTCAGACAGACCTGGGTGACACAGAGAAGATGCCGGCTACATTTTTAGTGCAACTCAGCAGGCACACAGTATTACATGGGTTTTACAATGGCTGTGGTTATAATCACATAGAAACTTTTCAAAAACTAGTAGGGTCCTCTCAGCATCTGCAAAAACTCATCAAAAGTAACTGATAAGGGTTGATATAAGCATTTTTTGTATTATTTTGATTGGGAGACAAGACATATTATGCTTATAAAAATGTTAGCGACTTAAATTGTATTTTATTTTTAAAAGACTGTTTCTGACCAAGGAGCAATTACTATTACTATTTACTATTATGTACAGCATTTATAATAATATATTTGAAGTAGTCCTTTCCGTTGGCATAACTACAACCAGTATGATTTGCAGAGTGAGAATAGTTCAATCAATGACAAGTGGCCGCAAGGATTTGAATTCATTTTGACCAATAAGGAAGCTGCAGGGGTGAAAATGGACGGGTCTAATGAGTGCTCGTCTTCAAGGGTTTCACTTTCAAAAGTAACTGACATTCACTTAAACAATATTTTAATAATTTTGTTTGGCATTTTGTTGATACAAATATAAATAATTATAATATATGGACTAAGAGATAACATATTTTAGAAGTCGGAAATTACAATTGTTTTTAAATTTTAAATCCAATAAGTTTTGATCTGATTAAAAGGCACAAACTTGTTAAAAGTGTAATTCAACTTTAGAATTTCCCACAACAAATGTGATGGAAAAAGGTCAAAGCATCCGCCATAGTGTAACAGTGGTTCCTGAGATTACAATGGAGCTAAATGAAACTCCAGGTCTACTTTAAATAATGGTACAATATTGTAACAAGGATAAAAGATGGAAAATAATTGCTGCATAATATGTCTTCATTATAAGATCAATATTAGCCAATGAAACAAGAACACAATTCTGATTTTACTTGAATTTAAGAAAACAATCCATTATCATGTATCCATTGCTTGTTCCGTTGGCATATTGACGTTCAACAACTCCTCCATCAAGATCCATTTTGCATAATTCAACCACACATCAGCTTATTTGTTGTCATTTTTGTCAGTGTGCAGGAGAAAAGTCAGATTGCGTTCATTTAATTTGGTTATTTCTTATTTACATACAGTCTATAGTGCAAACCATCTTCCTTCCCGTTGGTGTCGGCGGCAGATGCTGAGAGAAATCCCAACCTTCATTCTATACAAAAATAAACTTGTACAGTAATATTATTGAACAAAGAGAGTTGTATTGACAAGCCACTGGGTCAGTATAGTTCAGTGGAAAGACCCCATTCTCATTATCATTCATAACAATATTATTCACAGTACAACTTAGTACAAAAGTAAAGAGCCAAGTCATCTTTGAGCGATTGGACTTGGGGCTATTATTATTAAACTTTTGTATATAAAGAAATGGTATAACATTTTAAAGTATTTTACAAAAATATGTATCCTTTTTATCAATTATTTCTTGAACAACCCGACATTAGTAATCTGCTTTATGTGGGTAATAGACAGAAAACGTGGTGGCTATAGTCGTATAAGAATGGCTACATCTTCATGAGGGTCAGAAGATTACTGAAATAAATTCTATATCAAAGATTTCACAGAGATTCGATTCTTTCTGCTCAGATTTCGTCCTTTTGCCATAATCAGGGCAGAACATCCACATAAGGGCAATTTTAAGCAAAAGTAAGTCCCTGCCCTAGATGGTAACGTAACAATAGGCCATAAAAACGGAATGATTTAACAATTATGGTGATATTTCTAAACACGAGAGTTCACCTTTAAATTGGGGGAAAGACGCTCTGACCTGACCAGACTGAAGATGAAGACAAAAGCCTATAGATGCTACAGACTTGAATCGTTCAGCAAAGAATCAATGCTGGTAAACAAAATTAAATAGCACCACCTTAACGAAAAGGAACGTGAGAAGCTTTAGAATTATAAAAAAAAATCAAGGCAATTGTCCTCAGAAAACGTGTTTCGGGTCCTTCCCTTGTCCGTCACAATTTTAGTATCAACATCACAATACAACAACAAAAAATATGATTGAAGCTGGAGTACCTAACTTTTGCTTTTGTGAATATATTTGGCCAACGGAAAAAGTCTTAGCGCTTTTTTTTCTACTTTTCTGTCTAAAAAAGTGGATCTAAAGATGTGACAAAGGCCAATAATACAAGTATGTGAAAACTAGTGATAGAACCACTGTTAAAAGCGATGATATGTTTTTTTGGTGTATGGTTATTTGTGACGCGGTTTAGGTAGGTACTCCAGCTGGAAAGAAACACTGTAAAACTACTGTGGTAAAGGACCTGACGATGTATCTATGTAAGATCTATGGGAGTGGAACAAACCAAGCAGACTGCCATAAGTACCTCCTGTTTGCGTGTAGATGCGAGGACACAAAGGTCACATATAGATTGTGTTAAGGCAACATAGTGAGATGAAAAACAGAGATACTTCCTGAATGTCGGGTTTGTAAACAGAAGTGGTCAGGTGTGTCGATTGACGGTTTAACATGCGACGGAGTTAGGGATGTGAAACTAACCAGGGGCAGAAGCAAAGCATGGTGATTGTCCATGTGTGCTTTCAAATCTATAAATATTCAACAACTTCATGCACTTTGTTATATAAATTATAATCTGATCTGTATTAATGCTATGAAGTGCTTTGAGGTTGACTACACTGCACTGTGCGCCTTGAAAAACTTCATTGCCCATGAATTGTTCACATTTTGACTCCATGATTTTACGTGAGGGACCAACACAAAGTGACGGATGATTGTGAAGCAGATTACTTTTGCAGAACATATCTTTGAGTTTGTTAAAAATGTGTAAAAAATAATAAAAAAAGACAACAAAATCTGTCACTTTGTGGTTTTTGGTCTTTCATGTGCACTGGCCATAAGACATCTTGTGGTCGTAACAAGACTACATTTAGAAATGTTCTTGGGGTATGAATACTTTTTCAAGGTATTATATGAAAAACACTTCATAAGGAAAACATACTAACTAATTAGGACGACTTAAAATGTTTTAATTGTTAATGTTTCAAAACCCACTGTATTGGAATCGTCCATAGAAACCACTGAACTTCAGTATGCTGGATTAGTAACTGGACTGAATATATATATATAAATATTTACTTTTAAATGTAACGGAAATGTTGTACACGGTTAAAAAAGCAAGAGGCCTTTTTGAGCAGCACTGGATCCAACTAAATATATTGTAACACGAAGATAAATAACTTAATGTATCAAGAATTATCTGGCTTGGTTCAGTATTTTAGTTTACTTTGAGTTAAGATAGCGGTTTAACAGTTTGATATCTGATATGAACTACATTTATTACCTTTCGAAATTGCTGTCGTTGACAAAAACATATAAAATAATATTGAATCAGCTTCCAATGAGCGTTTAGTACCTGACGGGAGGGGCCTGATAAAATGGTTCTTCCTGCCTCAAAACTGCAAAAACAAAACAGGAAACTACTTCAGGTATAAATTTCACACTGGAATAGCGTTGCAACATGGTAGAAAGCACCGCAATAGTCGACTTTGCAAACATCCCCCTTCTTAAAACAATTTGCAAGTGAGTACAGTAAAATATGTATGGATCTAAAATAATGCTTGTGTGTAAATAAAGAGCTGATCCAACTCAGTATCAGCGTCTCGTAAAGCCCCGTACACGATGAGTGGCGTTGAAAACCATCAAATCACTATTGACGCAATTGTAAGAAAACTTATTTTATACAAAGTGTGGGTCCATGTCTCCCTGCTGTTCCCTGCTGTTTCCTGCTGTTTCCTGCTGTTTCCTGCTGTTTCCTGCTGTTTCCTGCTGTTTCCTGCTGTTTCCTGCTGTTTCCTGCTGTTTCCTGCTGTTTCCTGCTGTTTCCTGCTGTTTCCTGCTGTTTCCTGCTGTTTCCTGCTGTTTCCTGCTGTTTCCTGCTGTTCCCTGCTGTTCCCTGCTGTTCCCTGCTGTTCCCTGCTGTTCCCTGCTGTTCCCTGCTGTTCCCTGCTGTTTCCTGCTGTTTCCTGCTGTTTCCTGCTGTTTCCTGCTGTTTCCTGCTTCACTGGCTGCATGTGTCCCTTTACTCGACAATGATTGGTCCTTTTTTCCTTGGCATGAGACAACGTGAGCGAACAGAATGTAAAAGTTCAGTTTGTCTCACTGCTTTTGTCTTCTGTCTGTTTTTCCTGGAGAACTGTGATGAGCGACTCCCATGCAGACTGGCACTGCACACATGACACAGGGAAAAAAGTCATTAAATACCAACCAAAACACTATAGAATACCACTATCTCATAATTCTACTGGCCTTTTTATTCTTTAACGCTTTTAACTCTTACATTTGGCTGCATAAAATGTGTATAAATGTGTGAAGAGTTAGTGTATGGGTGGATTACATCAGGGGTAAACCCCCTCTATAATCAGGGGTGCACATAACTTTTTCAGTGAGGTTCTCAGATGAGAACCAGGAGAAGGCGTTTGGTACTCACTTCATTTGTTGCATGGTTCTTAATCAAGATTTTATACTAGCTTCTTTTTAATGCTAAAGTTTAGATCAGCTCAGATAATCCACTCAATCAAAGTCAAATAATGACTCACAGGGCTCTTTCTTAAAAATGCCAAACAAAAAAATATCAAAACATTGTTCTGTTTTATTTGTTCACAACTTTTTACTTTTGGGCACAACCAACGTTACTATGCATTATAAATGCAAGTGAAAATGTAGGTACCACAGCTCTAATTTTAGAGACACGGAGAGGACATGGACACTCCCTTAAGGCTCCATAGTCCAACTCTGTTTCTTGCAGTAACGCAAAATGTGTTTATTTCTTTTGCGTTACGCAAAGACATAGACTTGCAACAAGCAGAGAATGGTCCTGGGTACATTATGACCACGTTCGGCTATGTGCTCGCCGCGTTGTTGTCAAGGAGCCGCTGTCATTACAAAGCGGCCGGAGCGGCTCTGGAATCAGAACGCTGCTGTCACGGAGGATTTGGAGTCCCATTCGAGTAGGTACAGCAAACAGCAGCAAGTGCCCCGTGATCACACACACCCTCCCTGGCATTGTTCCACACCCCCTAGGGAGGAGCGCCCCCTGGTCTATGTGAAGTGCGCAAAGGCACTTACTAACTTAAGTGATAGTACGCATTTCTGATATTTGACGCGCATGCGTACCTGCGTACCACTTATGTGCACCTCTGTCTATAGCACAGGTGTCAAACACAAGGCCCGTGGGCCAAATGTTGCCTGACAGACTATTTTTAGTGACCCCAGAAATTATGTTCAATTATTTATGAACTTACAGCATTAATGGTAAGGTTATTATGACCTCTCATGGTCTGTTATGCCTCATTTTAAAGTGTATTTTCTCAAAAAAACAACCATACTATTTATTTTATTGTAACATCTTAACCCAACATGTAATTATAAATTGATCATTTAAAATTTAAATCACTGGTCAATCTTTGACATGGTTTTGGTTCAGCCCAAACAATAACATAATCTACCAGAAAATAATATCCAAGTAATAATGTTTTTAATCAAAATACCTTCATAATGTAGACAAAATGCATTCACAAATATCAAAAGAGTTCAAAGCACTTTTATGGTTTCGGCCCCTGGTAGCTGTTATTTTTAAAATCCGGCCCTGACCAAAATGAGATGACGCTCTGCTCTATAAGAATACGTACTTCTTACTAGCCCTGCATCCATCTTTCTATCTATAATGCAGAATGTTAGTCTAGTTTGTTTATTGCCGTCTCCAGATCATACCATTTTCTACTTTTTAAATATTTAAATACTTGACACTGCTTCTAATGAGTCTAATGCGTTGTAGGGCTGGGCAATAAATCGAATTTAGGTAATTAATCGGCTTTTGTATAAATCGAATTTGTGAAAAATGTTAAAATCGTGAAATCGGATGGAGGATATTGTGAGAGTTCCAGCAGCACATGAATTATCCTTGCAACACCAGCACAGTGTGTACAGGACTTTTATAATACGTATTGGGGGAAACAAGTTAACAAAATAGTTTTGAAACTTGAATATTGTGCGGAAAGATCAAAACATATTTTTAAGGGCAAAGTATGTCTTCGTTGACTAAAAATCTTCCATAGCAGGAAATAAAATTGAGATAAATTTTTTTTGCCATATTGCCCAGCCCTAATGCGCTGCTTCTAATCTAATGCATTGTGTACCTTCTCGTAGTAGCTGATGTTTTTGTCGGCCATGCCCGTGAGCAGCTGCTTGAAGTCCTGCCTCTTGTTCCTTTGCCAGCGCTCCCAGTCGGCCTTCAGGTCTGCGTTAAAACACTCCACTTTGTCCTGGCATTTCTCCACGTCTGCTGGAATCTAGAGGTCAGAAAAGAAGGAAATACTACCACTACTGGGCTCTCCATATCTACAGATTTATGAGGAGGTTGGGGGTTGGAGAAAAGAGTGGTATAGCAAATCTATGTAAGACGGCTGGTAGCAGTGGTAAGTCTTTTCTTTATTATTTTATTATTTTGCTTTTTTCTGGTGAAATGATTCCTATTTTAATATAAATAATAGATTTTCACAGATAAAGTTGCAGTCAGAATCTGTCCCCACTCCATCTTTTCACAAGTTAAAGCAGATTTCAGGGTCATAAAAAAAAAAAATCTTGAAAATCCATATATAAAACTATATCACCATTTTTTCTATATATATATTTTTTAAACAATACTCAAAAATAACATTGATTTTTTTTCACCAAGCCCCAAATGGTGAATGTGACATAAATTAGTCAATGAGTCGTTTTCAATTCAAGTCTATGGGAGACAAAGTGAGTTGGAGCAAAACTTTGTCCACGAGCACTTCCCTATTGGGCTTCATAGTGCTGGTGGGTGAGCATTATCCATCAGTGGGAAATGGGTTCAAAGCACGTGAAAGAAGTAACAGCTCATGGTGCGACAATTACAGCCCAGGAGCCCAGGGTCAGTACTTAAGTCAGTACTTACTGGAGTTCTTTCTTCTTGTCTCCGTACGACAGCTGCCTCAAGTCGACCTTCGTACTCGGCTTGACACTGGTCTCTTTTCCTCATGACATTCTGAGGAGAAAATTACATCCAATCAATGTGTTGGATCATGCTGCACAAGGATTCAAACATTTCAATTCCTCCTTCTATTGCTTAAAGAGCTTTCTTATGGGTTAATACATCATGCCACGAATTAGAATGTGCAGATTCCTTTGCGACAGTAATATATATTATCTTAAGACAGTGGTGGGGAGTAATGGTGGACTACATGTAACAGGTATACGCATTGAGAATACAATTTTTCAGTATTGTAATACATGGAATACGTTACTTTCAATAACTGAAGGAATACATAACACCTTTACTCTTAGTGATGTATACAAGTTTTATTTACTTTGAATCAACAACAACATAAATGTATTTCAAATGTGTGTTTTCAAAGTGCATCTGTCCTGATGGTGGGCACTGTTTTTGTTTGGGTTCATTGTCAGTGTCATTAAAATGTCCTTTTACATTGGAAACATCCATGTAACTTTATCCAGCTAAGTTCCGAGTCATATCTGTGGAGAGGTGGGTTTCACTGTATACATTTATTCAGCACTAAAATCATCCATAATTGAGGAAAGTACAAGAAGGGACAACAAGCTACAAGAAGCAAGAAGATGTCACTTCACAAAAAGCACGTCACCATCAGGACAGTTGAGGAATGCATCATTTTTTACTGTTATACAAATGAGAATACAAGTATTCCCAGTATTCAGAATATAGAACAATTCCTGTTTTATTTTTCAACTATTTCCTTTTTGTAGTCATGCTAAACTCAGCAACTTTACGTATATTGATTAAATTGTAGCCTAATACTACTATATGTTTTTCTTCTCCGCCTTCTAAAAACACATTTATAATATAATTGTTTGTTCAAATGGTATCAAATGAAAGATATTGATGTTACATACGTTTGCTTTAGTATTTTATCGCTCAAACTCAAGAGCAGCTCAATTGTCACCTTCATAGATTCTATGTAGAGGACGTATTCTCGGAGCACCGGAAGGAAATCCTGGCTGGTGTTCTCGCTCAGCTCCTCCATGGCTCTGCAGCACGTGGACACACTGCTCGCCACTCCCTCTAGAGGGCGCTGCAGCTCATCCTCCACTGCTGCCCAGCTACTGTACACTGAGCCATATTCCCTGAGCTCTGTCAGGTATTCTGAACAAAAAAAAGGATATGAATGGGTTTAGTGCCAATGAAAAACCTGTTCTATTACAACATTAGGGAGTAATACCACATGTATACAATCATAGCATAATAATGAATGAATGAATCATTAAAGCTGGGGTACTTAACTTTTTTGTAACGCATATATATTTTTTTTTTTACCAACTGAACAAGTCCTGTGAAAATAACAGCCTGTGAATGTTATAAAACATGTCATCTTTGGCCTACATGAAAGAAAGAGCCCCGTGAGTCACTATTTGAGGTGTTAGGCTTAAAGCCGACCGAAGGTGGTACTCTCTTTTTCACTTTTCTGTCTAAAAAAACCTGATTGAATGTAACAGGGTGCAATACATGCACGTGAAAACTACTGTAGTTGTATTTTTATGTAGCTGCGGCCCCCACTGAGGATCTGTGAAATTATGGCATGTTATGCATAGTTTAAAAGTAAATTCTATCAAGAAAACAACCATGTCCATAAATATTGAACTCTGCAATGCAATGAGCAATAATTCAAAGAAAATATGATCAAACCCAGTCTACAATACAAAGCTTGATTGCTTGGCATCCAGTTTTGTCTCAATCCAAGCAGCTAGACTCATTCATGAGAAGTTATCTCCAATAAAAGTAGTCATTTGGTCAAAATATTTTCATGATAATAACAAGTCACAGCTACAAACAATGAACTATAAAACTTCCCACAAAGCCTTGATTCTTGGTTCTCCTGTTTTTGTCTCGGTCTTGCCAACGCGTTTATTTTCTCTACTGTTATTGTTAAAGAATCGGAAGATGGTACAGCTTGAAATGTAGCAGTAAATTATATGAATCCAGGTACAGTAAAATAGCTGTGCAAGTTTAGTGGTTTTGATTCCATCTCTGCATGTGTATAGCTCCGTTTGCTCAATATATATTTTGCACACACAAACATGTGACAAATACATGTAACCTCATGCGGCCCTCTGTGGTCTAGGAGCCTTTTTCACAACTTCATGAGCTCAGAGCGATATCTGCCATCACGCTAGGCAACATGAGCAAACAACATAAACCTAGCCTTAGTAAAAAAAAATTTCCTCATGTAGACTTACTATACAACCTACATAAATAAAAATAAAAAAAATAATCTTTATTATGTGACACGAGTATCTCTTTACTTGAGTGGGAATATGTTTAACAACAAAACAAAAACAAAAGAACCAAAATAGAAATACATAATAAATGTCTATAGTTGCCACAATCACACTTACTGTACCCGTTTTATTGTCCAATTCTAAAGAGCCCAATTTCCACCCCTTTCCTCTCGCTCTCTTTTCTTTTGTCCACAACCGATCGAAACCGGACAGATGGTGACAGGCAGCGTTTCTCAGACACGGATGAGAGCTTATTTACACAGTCATGTTTATCTCAGGCTGAAGTCGGGCAGCGGGGAAAAAGCCGCGCTCAATCTCCTTTGTGTAAACGTTCCACTGAAGCAAAAACAGATATGACGGATGACTCGTTGAATCAGCCCTGCCTGTAATTATTGTGTTTAATCTTTAAGAAATGTAAACTGCAAATCTGTAAGCTACACCAAGAACTAAAAATAAATGCAAACTTAGAACTGCTCCCAAGTCTAAGTGATGTGAAATGAGGGAAAGTAGATGAGACTTGGTGAAAAAAGCCAAAGAAAAAAGGTGCATTTTTAACCAATTGAGATGACCCATGACTTTGATTCTTTGATAATGTATTTTCAAATTCAGATATGAGCTGTAAGGATTGACCAGTCATATGCCTTAGCAACACATCTGCCTCTGTTATGGCTAGTACCCCCCGGTCCCGGCTTAAAAGGGTCCATGAGCACATTCCTGTAATCTGACTCATTGCCTGCAGTGGCATACCCGGAAACAGAATCATCCAATGAATTCTTATGGCGTCATTTTTCCTCAGGCAAACAGCTTTACAGCCTGGTGGAGAGTATTTTATTGTTTTGTTTAGTCGTTGTGGACTTTTCAATGCACTCGTCAAATGAACGGCATGTGTCCGGCTGGATCCATCAAAAGCATGCGCAAATGTGTTTTTTCACTATCTCCTGCTGGAAGGACCATTTGCGGCCATTTTGATATAAGTTGGCAGGAGGTAAAAGTGATCACACATAAGTTTCAACAGCGGAGATGGGCTTCACTACGTTCGTTAATATCTACAGTCTATGAATCTACTTCTTCCGCATTTGGCAAACACTACGGGTGACATCAGCTACTTCTAATATATGGAGTCTGCACATACCTGACTGCTCCTTCAGTATTCTCTGCGTGATTCGGTCCATCGTTCCCAGTTTCCCGCTGAAGCTGTCCAGATACTCTCCCATGGCCGTGTACTCTGCCGGCCGCGCCCTCAGCTTGTACCCGCCGGCCACGTACTTCACCGACTCGCCCACTTTGGTCAGCAGAGCCAGACCCTGACGCTTGTTCAAGTCCTGCAGGCAGAGAAGCAGTTCCATGTATTAAAGAAATGTTTGTTGTTAGCTTGTCATGTGCTTTCTATTCTATTCAATTGTCTTTTAATAGCCCTGCCTCCATCACAACAGTAGCTATCTTCGGAGATCTTCACAAAATTGTCGATTCGCCCACACAGATCAGAGAATGAAACAGGTAAAAAACAGGAAATGAAACAATAAACAAACGATTCATAAAGGGCAAATTACCAATGTCCATAAATGTTAATCGATGTTTATAAATACAGTTCATCACCACTGATGTATTTTATCACATATGACTTGTATTCAGAGTATCAATCTGTTTGTGTGGTAATATTTTCTCCATTCCACCTATGAAGAAGCACGAGTACATAACCTTCTTCTTCATAATCTTGCCTGGAATGTTTCACAGTGCTAAAAAGGTGGGACATCAAACTTTTAAACCACAAAAAACAACTATGTAATGAAGTCCATCTAACTAGTTCCTGGCTATTAAAACAATGTGGTACTATCATTAATGCATACATTTTTAAGCGTTCAGCCCAAACTGTCAATTGGTGCAGGGCTCTTTCGAACAGGTATACATGCAAAATGCAACAGGTTTTTCTAATAAGAAAGAGACAGCAAGTTGTCTTTTGTTCACAACACCCTACATTAGCAAGACTGTACTAACGCAAGTAAAGTCGCAAGTGACAAAATGGCTGAAGATGAATAGTATTTATTTTAATTGTTAGAAATTCAAGTCCAATCACGCTCTCAATTCACTCAATGAATATGAATACATTTCTATGATTCTCTAAATATTTCAGAAATGTCATACCTAATTAGCTGTTTTTACAGTTTTACAGTTTGAGTCAGATGTGTTTTAGATCCCCATATTTTCAGATTTTTCCATCTTTTTAGTTGATCAAGAATTTCCTAACTTCAGCCCGACTACACGCCCTTTCAAACTCAGACGTTCCATTGTAGTACCTTTGCAGTGAGGAAAGCGTTGAGATGTGGGTTGAAGGAGAGGACCGGATGATCGGCCACTCTCTTCAGGAACTTGTCCAGAGCCTTCATTCTGGTCTCCACAAATTCTTCCGAGAAGCGATCCACCACGCCCTTCATGACGAACTTCTCTGGCAGCGGCTGGATGGGCAGAAAAGAGAGTTTACATGAGACGTACAAAGGAGGCCACAGAGGAACACGTGGAGGACCTACAGGGATCAAGTGTGTGGGTTGGCTGTCCTCCAGTTTGATCCGGAGCCAGTCAAAGTCTTGGTAGCGCCGCCGCACGCTGTAGTCTGGCAGGTCAAACTCTATCCGTGTCGTCTGTCAAATATATCACAAACAAGAGTCAATGAGTAGCTCAAATGAATGAATATCAGACCAAACTTTGAAGCCGCACAAAAGTTAACTATGTAATAAAGACCATGTGACAAGTCCCTGGTTCTAAAACCTCCATCCATCCATCCATTTTCTACCCTTTAATCCATTTCTGGGTCAGGGGGGTGGCAGTCAGAGATACCACCCAAGTCTCATAGCACCAGCCCCTCACTGACCCTCTGCAGGTGGTGAGTCCACAGGAGGACGGCTGCTCTCTGAGTGTGAGCATAGCCTTGATCTTTCAGTGGGGGCTTTGGGCAAAGTGGGGTTAAGTGTCTTGCCCAAGGACACAACGACAGCAGTCAACAGTGGGAGTCGATGGAGAAGGTGCAGAGGTGGGAATTGAACCCACGACCTTCTGGCCTTAAGGCCAATGCTCTACCAACTGAGCTACTGTCGCCCCTTCTAAAACCTGTTTGGTTATATTTTTTGCCTCAGTCACTTCTTCTGATCAACTTTTTGTGGAAAATAATACCAGCCCTCACTCCGCCAATAAGCTCCCCATCTTATTATAAAACATCTTGCATACAAAGACAGCATGCTGTAATCATATTTGTGCATAACATGTTACTTAAATAAGCTGGGGTACTTAACTTCCAACCCACAGAAGAAAAAAAAACACTCTGTAATAACATAACCATCTAACTAGTTTGATGGTTTGCGCGCGTTACTGTTTGGCTCTATCACTACTTTTCACATGCATGTATTTTTGGCCTTGTGTTAAATATTTACTTTTTTGTCTTTTTCAGACATAAAAGTGGTAACGAGGATGTTGTAATATGTGATATGTTTTCCTTCAGAAGTGAGCTGAAAAGACTATTCCACCCATTTAGAGAGCAAAACAAAAACTGGTGCCAATAATAATGAACCAAATTGTGCAAGACACAATTTACATGACTCGCTACATTTAAGGGATCGTATCCCTCGGTATATTCTAAAGTAAACCCTTCTTACTGTGAGAGAACACGTGAGGGGGCGGGTTTAGGAAATTCACAATTTCTCTGTTGAAATCAGACATCCTCTGAAACTATAGTCTATAACAGTGTTTCCCAATTGAGGATAAATTGACACCTAGAGGTACGCGAGGGTATTACATAAGATAAAATAAGATGTACTTTATTAATCTCACACAGGAGAAATTTACATGTCACATTGGCAAGGATAGGAACACTCAAGAATTGTGCAAAAAGTAAGAAATGTGCAGCATGTTAATGCAGGATATATTATGTACAAAAAAAGTGGCGATTAAAAAGTGGCAATTAAGAAAGAAGTGTCAATAGTAGTGCAGGTTTTTCAGTCATAGTGCAGCGACTTAAAGTGACTTATTGTACAGTCTGACATGGTGTTCTTAAATTGATTTTCAACACTATTCTGGCATCTTTATACATCATTTAAAAAAGATAAATTTCCCAAGAAAACAGTCATAACACAGAACCCAACTAAGAATAATAAAGTTATCAGTCTGCGTTAACAGGGCTTTACTTTTGGTCCACTTTAGGTCCAGTCCAAGCATAAGGACCGATTCATTGTCATCACTAATCACTGAATAATTTCTTTAAACACAGACCTTTTAAACTTGCTGCTAGCTTTTCATACACTTGAGTTTAGCCACAAAGACAGCATGTATGTAGAGCGCTTTGACCTCGAGACATGAGTCATTCCTCGGTCATATAGAATTACATGTGTATCCTATTGTCCTTGAAAGAAAGCTGATGGAGCAATTATAATAGATTCTCAGATGGAGCGCATTTGCTCCCTTGAATCTCTGCACACTTTCAATTAACACTGGGTTTTAGAGCAGACTTGTGATATTTGTCTAAGGCTTTGAAGTCTTTCGCCACGCAGCAACTGTCCCCATGATACCAAATGGCTGCTACGGCTTAAAGGCAAAGTCCGTGCAATATTCTGTTTCAATCTACTGCAGCGGATTCAGATAACTAACTAATAATGACAATAACACAGAATAGAATTTGGTGTGAATTATTTGTTGAAGTTATTTTCCAAAAGGCAATACAGGGATTCAATGAGCAGCCAGCCAGTTTCAACAAAAGTATTCATATATTTGTTATACTTGAGTAGCTGCTCTTCATAAATTTCAGAAATATGCCATCCATCCATCCATTTTCTTCCGCTTCATCCGTGGCCGGGTCAGAAATATGCATGTACGTATAATGCTATATCTACGGCTAAATAGGTGAAACTCAAAAAATTAGAATATCATTCAAAAAGTGACATATGCCGGGCCTTTGTTTTAGATAATTTCAGTGATTATGGCTTACTATCTATCTCAACTACTTACTTTTCAGACAAACAAGTGACACTGGTTTAGGCATGCTTCTAAGTGAATATATTGATTATGGTCAGTTGTGTTTTTAAATTCAGTTAACCATCCAGCTTAATGTTTTTATCATCACATTCTCTGCCATTTTCAAACAGTTCTACATCCTCATAATGCTGTTTAAGAGTTTAAAAATAAACACTTTAAACACGCCTCAAATAATATGAATAGTCTGTCAATTATTCAACAAACATTATTTTTAGAGAATTATTTCAATACTTTTTATTTACCCAGAGTGGAGGTTTCTACTAGTAACAAATAAGATTACCCTATCCCTTTTGCCAACTCTGTATGAACAAATATTCAAACAGTTATTCTCTTAAAATACACACCAGATTGTCTGACATGTACTACGCATATAATGAATAGTATGAAATGTACTGGTGCAACACGTGCTTTCTACTGTGACCGAATGGGGACATAGTGATTATGTGGCTGTGATGGTTAGATCTCCCTCCTCCCAAAGCTCTCAACCTCTGCTCAGACCAAGACACCAAGACGAGAGATGAGTGAGCGGTTAGAGTCGGGGTGTAACATTTTCTGGAGGAAGAAATATATGTATACAAATGTTTCTTTTAGCATGGGGATTATCATATGAGAGAAAACTGAACTGAACTGGTAAACCAACACAAGTGACACTCTGAAAATGAGACCACTCCAAAGTCCATTTACGTCTATAATTCAACTAAACGTATATACAGTATGATAGACTTATTACACAGGAAGTGAGATAAAGTCTATATTTGTTATAGTAAGAATAATTGGCTCACAGTTTGTAAAAGATGCAAAGAAGTATCAGGATATTTTGAACATAAGCTGCGTTTCCATTAAATTCACTTAGAAGCATGCCTAAACCAGTGTCACTTGTTTGTCTGAAAAGTAAGTTGTTGAGTAAAGTATACCAATATAAGTAAGTAATCTTTGTTTATATAGCGCCTTTCACAGACCTGTCACAAAGCGCTTTACAATTGGTGTGGGCATTTGTCACTCAATTCCAGTCCACACAGAGATGGGAGCCAGGTCGCCATATACAGTATGCATGACAGGCACATTGTACATGTTTTTAGTGGAAGGGGAAACCGGAGCACCCGAAGGAAACCTATGCAGACAAGGCCCGGAGTCACAAGGCTCTGAGACAAGGACTCACAAAGGCCCGACTGGGATTCGAACCCAGGACCTTAGTGCTGAGAAGCGAGAGTGCTATCCACTCAGCCCTGTGGCACCAAATATAAGGCAAAATACTAACGTGTGAATGTAGGCTAAGAGCTGATTGAGCCTGAGGGAGGGAGGTCCTATATTTTCACTTTCTGTCATAAAAGGCTAAACTAAAGATGTCTGATGTGTGTCTGATGAAGGCCCTCAGCCCGAACCGTCACTATTGTGGAATGTAAAAATATATTCTTTGGAGCAACAGAGCTGTGCAGATTTTTTCGCAATTTTTTCATGATCTAAAGTTGTGACAAAGGCCAATAATACATGCAAGACGAGTAACATAACTAAACTGTTTTAGCGAGAAACATGGATTTTATCATATAATTCCATTTTGTGTGTGTAGAAAGTTACATACCCCAGTTTTAAGTAAGGAGTACAATGTTGCTTGCCACCTCTGGTTTATGCTATTACAACATAGTCTTACTTTTGTACAATTACTACAGTCAAAACACTGGTCACTGGAGCTTGGTGGTGTGATCAGCTGACCTTGGTGGAGATTCTGTAGGTGATGTAGGTTTCCATGGTGGACACGTGCTTCTTTGGGTCGTCCACGGTCACGAACAAGTCCCGAGTTTCTGAGGAGGCATCTCCATCCAGATCATCGTCCAACTGAAGCCGATTGAGCAGTGACGACGCAGAGGCGGGGCTTGACGTCTCTACAGGCGTACCATTGGTCATCCCATTATCCTGAAGATGACAAAAACACAAGAATGGATGGATTGTTGCAGTGATTTTTAAATGCATCTTTTGTTCAGCTGCTTCACGCACAGTGTGACAGCAATACACTCATGAGCCAAATCGAAAAGTCTGAAATTAGAAAAACAAAAACAGATTTAGTTTATTTCATTAATAGGCAGACAATTATACAAACTACTGATTGTTAACCCGATCAGTTAAAAAGAATAAGATAGAGATTACAAAAATGAATTAAATATGTAAAAATGTAAAAAAATATGTAAATTACTCAACAGGAAAGTTTTTACAAAAGCCAAAGATTTGAAAATGCACATTATAAATATTGTATTGAATTGTTTTAAATTACTGACTAGTAAATAAACAGAATAGTGCCATTAAAATCTAAAAATCTATTTTTAAGAGGCGTCATGGTCCAGAGACTGATAACATATAACTTCCTCTTTCAAGCTGCATCAGAGAAAGTGCAGTGTCCAAACATTGACAGAGAGAATGACCACAGCAGTAACTCTTACTGGTAATCACAGTTTACATTTTGTTTATGCAATCCCGTCACATGACCGACCACAACACTCCTGAGGTCAGGTTAGGTCTAAGGAGGTCACAAAGTGTAGATTTAAAATGACAACACAAGTTATTCCTCAGCCATTGCTTTTTTTAAGCCAAAGCCTTCAACAGAGTAACAATACACAGAAATAGAGTGACACGGGAAGGAGGAAAGAATGTTACTTAATAGCCAACTTGAATAAATAGCAGTACTATTTCATCTAAGCGTTAGTTGAACACAACTGTGACCCTTTCAATGTGTACAAAGAAACGTAAGTTTATTTGTATGACACAATAGCTGTGGACAACTCAATGTGCTTTACAAAAGGAGAGATTATAATATGAAAAATAAAATCCTAAATAATCACAAAACATAAAAAAAAAATAAAGTACCAAATGCAACTCAATTGTATCTAGCGCTATAGCTAAAGAGAACCTTTTAAAGTTGTGCTTGAACATATCCAGTAGTAGTAGAGCAGAATGAGAGAGTCCACAGCATGTGTTCATATGGCACCAACATGTCACAGATGTATTTAACCCCGGTTACGTTAAAACCGTCGTGCTGTCGTGGACCTGTACCTTGTCTCTGCCTGTGCTCACGGTGACCTGTGGCCCCGGGGACAGCGGCTCGTCTGCGGCGCACAGCGGGTGGATGATGTCTGTGATTGGCTTCTGTCCGGAGCTGGCCAGGCCCCTCGGAGCACCGACACTCATGCTGCGTCCTGCGGGAGACGAGCGTCGGGAGCGTCGGGAGCAGGGCGAGAGTCCGTGTGTCCGCGGCTGCAGAGCTGATGACAAACAGAGAGTGAGCTTCCTGCGCCTCAGGTTTGATACATGGAGGCTTTATAAAAGGTTTAATCTCAGCGCTGCTCCGGGACAGTCTACGGAGACTATGCTCCAGCTCAGACGGTCCATCAGCTGACAACACAACCCCGGAAGTGGACTGTCAACCCCGGATGTAAACACGTGCGTCACGTGGTAGCCAACGACGAAGCCAAAGATCGTCTATTAGTATTATGAGCGAGACAAGTCTGTGCCGTCTTTGCAAACAGAGATATTTCATTTACTTCTAAGTATTGTATATACTCTCTTACGTTAGTTGACATGCGTCTCTTTAGTTTAAGTCATAACAGTTAGAGTTATATTTGTTGAGTTGAACAACAGCGTGAAGCATCCTCTTCCTCATGTGTCTTTGGTGAAGATAAATTCCGGGAGCAGCGGTTCAGCGCGGCTGTTCAGTCTCCCTCAGTTTCTAGTTTTTATGCCTTTTTAAACCGTAACTTATCGATTGCCTTGTGTACACTAACACATACAGTCTCATATGTCATATGTGGATACAAACAAACCACCTAACAGCTTGTGTTTGTTGTTTTTAATGGCAAACTAAGCCTCATTGTTGCTACGCTCCTGCAGAGAAGAACTGAATACTAGTGATGGCAATATGAAGCCCCATGAAGCCTTGAGGGATAGCAGCCTATTACTCGGCCCATGAGTCGAAGGCTCAAGGTGAATCATGCTCCACTACGCCATCATGTGGACAAAGAAATACATAACACTCTTAAGTGCTTACAATGAATGGTGAGATCTAATGTTAAAATGTATATTTACAATCTATGGTCTAACGTGTTGTGTTTGAAATGATGCTTCATGAACTATGAACTATTTGAGTCTTTCAGTCAATTGTGTTGATACAACAAACACATCCAAAGTAATACAGTTCTACAGAAAGTGATTAATGGAGGAAAAACTACCAAGAGGTGGATTAATTAAACACAACAAACCATTTATTCCCAATAAATAAATACATTTACTTTGCAACACAAAATTTATTATGGGTAGACCAGGATTCGAACGCTATATCTTCTGCTTCGGAGTCCGTCATATACCGACTGCGCCACACAGCTGTTGTGAAATGTATTATCCAGCGTATTATTACTAATAACTTGAAGCCTTGATATATGAGGTTTTACTAAAGTGAAACGTTTTTAATTGTATTTCATATGAAGTAGTTTCTCTATACTTAGTACAGGACTGCTCCACATCACGCACACACACGTACGCACGCACACACACGTACGCACACAGAGGCAGACGGGGACAGCCAATACAGTCTATGGTACAGCCGCGGATCACAAAGCACCTGTCAAAGCAATGCACTCTCCGAACTATATGAAGCACTATATGAACCGTCACGTGGTGCGGCCGCTACGCGAGGCTTCGAACGTCATCACACACGTGACCAATACACGCCTCGACCCACACTTCACAAGAAACGCCCCCAGATTACTCGGTCCACGCTTCGAAGACTCGGTCCGCTCAGCACATCACTACTGAATACTCTTCATACACTCTGCCTCTTGTCACAGTTGTACTGATATGGCTGCTAATCCTCCAGGTAAACTTTATATGTCTATAATCACCTCTTTTTTTGACTCACTCTTTGCGTTTCTATTCAGGCACATTTCAGTTATACCTATTCATGAAGAGGCTAGAAATGAATAATAGATACACTCTGAATATCACTGATGGTTGTTCACATGGTGGCATTGCATTGTTGGACTGCTAATTTATTCATAAGTGTGTTTTAATAATTATTCGCCTGGACATTCATTCCTAATGGCCTGTCAACATTTTCTTTAGTCTTTCAGAATAAAGCCCGAGTCAATCTGGCCATCATTGCCGAGCTGGACAGGGAGAAGAAACGCCTCCTCCAGACCAGCCAGTCCATGAACACCCCAGGAGCTAGGTAAGACTAATCTGAAGCTGTAAAGGATTTTGGTTTTAAATGCAATGAAAATATCAAAAACAATAATTAAAAAAACATATTTTTCTTCATTCTCTTGCAGCATTTCACTTTCCAGACCTGTGAAGGAATTCAGGGACAATGCAGAACAACAGCATTTTGCAGCACAACAAAAAGCTGCTTTACAGGTAATACCTAGTTTTGTTATTGTTCGGTTGAAACCATCTTTCAACAATCAATTTTCAATATAGCAAAAAAATATTGTTGCTTTTTATTGTTATAATGGGGTGGAGCAAAAATCCAATTGTATGAAATTGCGTTATAAATTATTGTATAGAGTTCAATGGGTATCTATAGGTATGTATCATGGCCTATGTACTGCCTATACGTTGGATGTTTTGTGTTAATACTTTTTTTTCATGTTTACTAATGTATTATTATTTCTTACAGTACATATCCTTCATCAATAACTTAAGTGTCCTCTCTTTCAGCACGCGCACTCTCACTCTACAGGCTTCTTCATCACTCAGGACTCGTCTTTCGGAAACCTCATCCTCCCCGTCATCCCGCGACTGGACCCTCCTCAGGCGTGATCTTTTACCATTTACTGTAGGAAATGAACTCTGCTACACAAATGATCAGTGTCTCCTTTAACCCTGTCTTTTTAGGCATTTAAATGTGATGTAATGAACCCTCTCGATGATGGAGTAATGTGTCATTTCATTTATTTGAATTATGGATCGCTAGAACTATATTTGTCATCAAGGTTTCTACTGCGTAATTATTACTCAAACTGTACATTATGGTATTTTTACATTCTTATTCATTTTGGAATAATAAAAGTGTTCATCACAACTATTGGTTAGTTTGTGTTTGTCTAAAAAGTATGTTTCACAAAAGACATTCTCACATTCAGTAGGTTCTTATGTGATATTCTACCCATATTCAATTCAATGATTTATCTATTTTTTTCTCACCTTTCAAATGGCTTCATTAATGTTCCATTTATTTGTATATTTTGGGTGATAATTTCCACCGAGGACTTTCTGGCCACGAGACAAAACATGAAATCTTGTCAAACACTGACTCCCTGTGGACAAATAGTGCACACTTTTATAGTATCCAGTATTTATGTAAAAGAATCATCAGTTTGTCATCCTTCTGGCTTAGGTTATAAAATCCCCCACCTTGGTTAGTAAAATAGACTTATGATAATAGACATTAATTAGGCATAACTCAAACCATACATCACGTTTCCTTGTTTGATTTTTTTATGATTGGAATTTAGAAGTGCAGTCAATGGTCAAAAACAAAGGTCAAACATGTATTTAGGATCAGTCAGAACACTCCATGCCATCTGTATTTTATAATTTTATAAGAGCCTCGTGAGTCACTATTTGACACTTTGGGCTGATTGGTCGAACAAAATTGATCCCCTCCTTTTCATTTTTCAGTCTGGAAAATATGTATCAAAGATGTGACAATACATGCATGTGACAAGTAGTGACAACCTACTTTGAGAGCGATACATTTATAGGTGGATTTTTATCACGCACATAGCTAAGCACGCCAGTTTTAATGAACTACTCAGAACTTCTAATGCACTTCATTTGAACTATTACTAGCAATGTTATAATTTGAAAACAATTAGACTTAAGCTGCAGACGCCAATTTCACCCTTTTCATTAAACTGGATTACAGACAAGTAAAATATATGTCTTTTCAAGCTGGCTCTATAAACATTGAATAGCGCTTTTTTTCCATCCATAAAGTGAGGGACTTGACTAAACTTGCGTCTGCATAGCTCCTCCTCTATTTAGTCAAGACTCCAGTGCGTGTCGGGACTGGTGCCTTTAGCGCACAAGCATCTCGACGCTGAGCAAGAAAAGAAAGACTTTCCTGGCCTTATCTGGAGAAATAACTGGGTTTTTTCTTTTGACACGCGTCACTAGAGTTCCGCTGGTGCGCGTATTTTGGTTCGGACATATCTTGGATCGTTCATAAAGGCGCTTGTGCGTTTTTTCCATGTTGGATTAAGTTTGCGCGGAAAGAAATGTTATCTGAACCCACAACTGCGAGAGGAGGTGGGAGCAAGATACGAGTCTGGTAATGCATACATCTTCATTACAAGACTGGGATGTTTTCTCTGAGGTCTGAACAAAACCCAGCAGGAAGGCAAGTCCTCACACGTAAAGAAGCGTAAAACAAAAAGTTGGGGACGTAAAACGCGCAAGTTTGGAGAAGGTTTGAAATGGCTTTAAAGGCGAGAGTTCTGTACGACTTCCACTCGGAAAACCCTGGGGAGATCTCCATTTGTGAGAACGAGCTGGTCACTTTGTTCAGCGAGGAGGAGCTGGAGGGCTGGCTGGAGGGAGAAAACAGCCGAGGGGAGAGTGGCCTGGTCCCGGCGTCTTATGTGGAAATCATCCGAGACCAGATCACCACCACCACCACCTCCACCACAACCACCAACAATAACAACGGCGTGTCTTCACCCAAATCCAGCACCAGCTATTCCTCCTTTGCGTCTCCAGAGTCCCAGCGAGGAGGTGGTGGGAATAATGGAGGGATAGGGGGAGGCAGTGGGAGTGGGAGTTGCGGGGGAAGCTTCCACACCAGCCAGGGCAGTGACGACGACTGGGACGATGACTGGGATGACACTTCACCTGCTTCTGCGCATCCACCGACTTTAGGCACCACGCCCCCGCTTTACCCGGTCACCACGTCCCTACCAGCGCGCAGAAGCAGCAGTCAGTCACATCAGCAGCATCATCAGCAGCATCAGCAAGCCAAGAGCACAGCCACAGTAGGAAGGAACTTGAACAGGTTTTCCACTTTTGTCAAATCCGGAGGGGAGGCCTTTCTGCTGGGACAGGCTAGTGCGCTGGTGAGGGATGGGGAGAGGATCTGTGTGGTGATGGGGAAGCATGGGCCCGAGTGGCAGGAGGACCCCTATCCATTTACCTCCACGATTGATGATCCGACCAAGCAGACAAAGTTCAAAGGCATGAAGAGCTACATGTCATATGGGCTGACTCCAACACACACCAATGTGCAAGTCAACCGCAGGTATTACACCATATGAGAGCTGTATTATATGAAAATGGAATAATTTAACTAATGTAAAGATGTGTAGCCTTTGGTGGAAGAAAAGCCAATGTTGACCTGTTGGGTATATAGCCTGGAGAGTTTCATAATAAACAAAGGCATGGCACTTCCATTCAGACAACATATTGTCACTCTTTAACATAACAAAAAGGTCTTAGTCTATTAATTTTTCCTTCAATTTATCCGAACAAGGCAGGTATATTCTCACCTGCAGTCAATGGCTTGACATTGCACTCATTGGAAATGTCAGTTATTTTTATTTTTTATTTAACTTGGGATATAGGAATCTTCAACCACAGCTGGCTGGTTTCATTTGAACAAAATATGGAATCTCTGCTGTGCCAATGGCAATAACAAATAATACAAAACCTCTGTAATACTCAATCATTGTGTGAAGTTGTCAATTCTACCACCAGATTTCCCAAAGGAGTACAAAAGCATTCCTAGTTTGTTGCGTGGGAATCAAAAGAACTCATCTCCAGGATCGGAACAGAAGATTCCTCGGCATGTATGGATCTCCTGCCTATTGTTGTAATGTTGAGGTCAGCTTGAACTATATAATTGCTTCAAAAGTTTCTAAAGAGATCCATACATGTTGTGACAAGCAATGCATGAACACAGAAAACCGAAAAACATCTGTTTCTTTTGATGAATTAATTCAACAGAGACATTTGAGTCGTGATTCAGTAATAGTTATGCGCTATATATAAAGTTTACTTTTATGAAACCCGATAAGCCACATTAAAAGGAACCACCAATTCACAAAGTTGAAAATGGTGTCATGTGGTTCTTCTTACTGCCACAGTTGTTAAATGACAAAAACAGACTCGAGTCTTGACGGATCGCTGTCTTGCTTACCCTCCGCCTCTGAGAGTTATTTCTTCCATATTGTTTTCTTGACTGTAGGTCTCTCAGGCATACCAACGATAATGAATGTTCCACGCCGTGCACTTGGGGAAACACATGTCACCTAAGGCTTTTCAGGCGTGTTTTTAATTTCTTTTTCCAGTCACTCATTGTGAGATTTGTGTGAAACAAGTGACGAGTGGTGTTTAGGATGGTCTATTCTTATCTTGCATAATTATAATTTGCATGGGGACTTATTGTGGTCATCAGGCCCAGACAATTCTCAGATGTGTTTTTGATTGTCCTCATTTCAGATCCTCACTGCTCAGTATATTTCAATTCAATTCTACAATTTTTTTTTTTTCTTGTAAAGCCCTAAATCACAACAGTGGTTATCTCGGAGGACTTTACACAACCGTTGAATTCGCCAACACAGATCAGAGAATCAAACAGTTCCAAGACAAGAAACGCAATGATAGAAAACACATGGGTATTGCTCCATAAGGGGCCCATGTCCATTAGACCGTTAGACCCTCCTGCATTGTCAAGGCAAAAGTCTAAAACTCATAACACACATGTAATAATACGTACAGAAATTTGCTTCAGTCATAATATAAGTAATAATTCTCCAAAAGGCACTGAAAGAAAGCAACCACATATACTGTAGGGATATGTGTTATTCTAACCAAGAACATCATAGAATTCAAATGCATTAGTAGGACTGTAAATATAGTGAAAGGGAACAGGAAAACAACTTAACCTCCCTCTTTTTAACACGTCTCAAACTCCCAGAAGCCCTCTTAAAGATGAGGGGCCTAACTTTATATTTCATAGATAATGCATTTGTATTGTCTCTACATAAAGAACATTCCAAAAGTAAAATATTAATGAACCTTTCTTACCACAACCTCCTGCCTGTTATCTTTTGCATACTTGTAAGTAGGGCCGCACAATATTACAATATTCAATATGAGTGTTTAGCATTGCAATACCAATTATTGCGATATTCTTGTCTTTCACCTAAAATTGCAATCTGAATTGAAACGCAAGAGACAAATAACAAAAACATGAATGACTTTCAAATGCATATATTCATGTACTTTTTTGTTGTATTTGTTGAATGTTTATGTGTATGTCTGTTTCGATATGGATATTGCACGCACCAATATCGCAATAACAATATTTTTTCGATATATCGTGCAGCCCTACTTGTAAGAACGATCCCTGTGAGTCTCTATATTTAACACTTTGGGCTGAGTGAGGGTGGTCCTCCAACACCCTCTGATTTACAGCTCAAGCTCACTTCAGCATCATTATCAGAATCATTTTCACAGGTCCGCAGCGCTTAGTGCTTGTGGGCCTGTGCTTTACAGTCAGAAAGTCTTGGCCTGGGTTTGATTCCACCCCCACCTCTCTGTGTTGAGTTTGTATATTCTCCCTGTGCCGACCACTGAAACCATGTACAATAATGATAGTAGACATCAGCACCCAAACAAACAGCAGCGCATGAAGGAGATGTGTAAATAGAAACTGTGCAAAAAGGAATTTGACCGAATATTTACAAGTGACACTATCAAAACATAAACATTCAAAGGAACCAAATGTCATGTAAGCTAAACGGTTTTACCTGAATCCATTTGTCTGTGAGTGACAGCTGAGACAGGATGGAGGATAAGGGTTTTTTTTTTTGGCTTCTTCCTTTGTATTGGCTCGTCTTTAACTCATTGACTGCCATTGACGTATTTGTCTGAGACCCTCTATTCGACTGGAGATTACGGGACAATAAAAATAGATAGAAACAGACTTATTTTTGCTGTTAAAAGTAGACAAACCAGTCTTTCAGAATCTGGTTTTGTATTTCATATAGTCTTAGGAAATAATATTCTGTGGGTCTTGAGAATCAGTGAAATCATCGGCTGGCAGTCAATGAGTTAAAAGTAATGGTTCTTTTGGCACCCCCCCTACTGCTTCTCAGGCCGATAAAATGTCTCCCTGTTCACCAATGACAGTATGGCTCTGGTCATGTTGATTAGATCTAAGTAGTAGCGTTATCACAAGTCATTAAACTGTGTCTGACAAGGTGCAATTGTAAAAATACGTCCAAGATAATAACTTCAATATTCTCTCCATCATTAACGTTTCATTGTGATATTTCCTCTGTGCAGGTATAAACATTTTGACTGGCTGTACGCCCGTCTGGTGGAGCGGTTCCCTGTCATTTCGGTTCCACACCTGCCGGAGAAGCAGGCCACTGGGCGCTTTGAGGAAGACTTCATATCAAAGAGAAGGAAGGGGTTGATTTGGTGGATGAATCACATGACCAGTCATCCAGTGTTGGCGCAATGTGACGTGTTCCAGCACTTTTTGACCTGTGGACCCGACGAGAAGGCCTGGAAGATGGGCAAGAGGAAGGCAGAGAGGGACGATCTGGTGGGGGCCAACTTCTTCCTTACAATCAGGTGAGTGGAATTATTTAGTGTCACGCTGAAGGCCAGAGCTAAACCAAATCAAGGCCTCATCCGAATTGAACACACATTTTGGCTCAGGTATTTCCACTCTCCCATTCTCATGTTGTATAATTATAGGTTGATTAGGTTGTGACAAAATATCTAAACATGGGAAGACGAAATGGCTTTTTCAGGGCCTGCTCGCAACTGAAAAATATGCTCGATTAGATCTGAAGAAAATCACCAAACCTCATCTAAACTGTTATTATGGCCTGAGTGAAGATGGGATGTGCTGCTGAGAACGCTTTAATTGTGGTTGTCTGACTCTGGGGTGGGTTAGAATAAATGTTACTTCTGCTCAGTCCATTTGAATTTATATTAATGCATGTTTAATATGTATGATAGAAAATACTGTATAATTTGTGTTAGCTTGTTTTACTTTAGAAAATGACATTAATAATTCCAATTCATTAAAACTATGAGTAGGACCTGCTGATATTATTACAAGTGTCATGTAATATTAGATTATCAAACCTGCTTCACAATGCTCGGGAGTTTGATCAATCAATCAATCAATCTTTATTTATAGGGCGCTTTTCCTGCACAGGGCAACACAAAGCGCCTCACAGTCCACACCACACAATGCACAAATCATCACCATTAAAATACAATTAAAAACACATATGTAATTAAAAAGCATTAAAATCACATAAGTAATTTAAAAACATAAGAATCACACAAGTAATTAAAAACAATAAAATAGTTAAAAACACAAAAAGTTACAACAATAAATAACAAGGTGTGTTAAAAAGATAAAATTCTCTAGTTGTATGCACAGGAAAAAAGAAAAGTCTTTAACATGGATTTGAACATTGACAGAGAGGCAGCCAGTCTCACATCCTCAGGAAGACTGTTCCAGACTTTAGCTGCATAAATCTGAAAAGCAGCCTCCCCCTGTCTAGTCCTGACTCTGGGCACTAACAGGAGTCCCGTCCCTGCGCTCCTCAGAGTCCGGGCTGGTTCATATGGGACTAGCATATCATGGATGTACTTTGGTGCAAGGCCATGGAGAGACTTGTACACCAGGAGAGCTGCTTTAAAGTCTATCCTCTGGGCCACGGGAAGCCAGTGCAGAGACCTGAGGACCGGACTAATGTGGTCGTACTTCCTGGTTCTAGTCAGGACTCGGGCTGCAGCATTTTGAATATACTGCAGCTGTTTTACTGCATGTTTGGAGATACCTGTGAGCAGGCCATTGCAGTAATCCAGCCTACTGGAAACAAAAGAATGGATAAGAATCTCCAAGTCTGCCCTGGACACAATATTTTTAATTTTGGCAATATTTTTCAGATGATAAAACGCTGCTGATGTTACCGATCCAATGTGGCTATTGAAGTTTAAGTCAGAGTCCATTATTACTCCCAGATTTCTGACCTTATTTAAAGGCCCCAGGGAGAGAGACTGAAGGTGACAAATGACGGTCTCTCTTTGTTTCTCGGGACCAAAGACAATCATTTCGGTTTTGTCCGCATTTAGCTGGAGAAAATTGCATTGCATCCACTCACTGATCCGCTGGATACAGTGAAGGAGTGAGTCCACCGGTCCATGCTCTCCTGCAGTCAGTGAGACATAGATCTGAGTGTCATCAGCGTAATTGTGGTAGGACACTTTCATACTTTGAATTAACTGACCTAATGGCAGCATGTAAATATTGAACAGGAGAGGTCCCAGAATCGACCCCTGTGGCACTCCGCAGGTCAGGGCCATATTATCTGAGACATAGTCTCCAATCTCCACACAATACTTCCTTTCTTCTAGATAGGACCTAAACCAGCTATCTGATATCTCTCTGCCATTTACTTTGGCCTTATGTTACCAAAAGTCATCTTCAGGGTGTTGCACATTACCTATTGTGTTAATGGGCCATTTTTTGTTTTCCTCGGATAAAGTCTTTAATCACTGGGAGTGCCTGATAGAGCGATGGAAAAGCAGGTCACTGGGATAATGTGCTCACTACTGTTCAGAGCATAATGTAATGTTGAACTCTAACATATACTAAAGCTTTCAAATCAAGATAAGTGATTTGTGGTTATCAAAATAAACAAAGCCCTAACCCTTCTGCTCGAGAATCTTTTCTAACCCTAGATTTTCAGCAGCTATTTAGTTGTGATGGAACTGTTAGAAGTGATTCTGAGCTTGCTGTCCATGAGCTACACAGTACATCAGATCCCAGGAACAAAGTAGTACTTGGATATGAAACTTGGAATTCTAGCTAGAAGTTTATCTAATTATCAAACCTCAAAAACTATGCTATCAAATCCATGTAGATAGTTCCTCGCTGTCACAATAACTTGGTTCTATCTCTAGTTTTACATGTACTGTATTTTTGGCCTCTGTCGCATCTATATTTAGACAGAAAAAAATAGCCAAGCAGAGAGGCCAATCAGGTCTCAGCCAAAAAGTCTAAAAGTGACTCACTTGCACGTTTGCACAATATGTTTTCTCATAAGATCGCGATAGCATGTTGTGGTCTGATTTGTTGTCTAGATTTTAGGTATCCCAGCTTTGAGGTTAAGGCAAGACAAGTAGCTAAACCACCATTGTGTGTGGAGTCACTGATTGTGTGACTTTCCATATTTTTCCTTTTTTCCTTGTGTCTTCATCAATCATTTATTAACACAAAACAATCCTAATCCTGCACACGGTTTCACAAACAACCCCCTTTTATCCAGTATATCTATTTGTACGTAAAATAACAGCCCTTATTCTTACACACACGCACCAATGTATGCTATATTTTCTGGCCGAAAGTCAACAAAAGCTTGTTTTCCTTGCAGCCCGCCCGAGATTCCTCTTGACCTGCAGGAAGTGGAGAGTAAAGTGGAGGGCTTCAAGACATTCACCAAGCGAATGGACGAGAACATTATTGTCGTGAACACTACCATCAATGAGTTTGGCCGGAAGCAGATCACCGGCTTCAAGAAGGAGTACCAGAAAGTGGGACAGTCCTTCAAAGTGCTGTCCCAGGCCTTTGAACTGGACCAGCAGGCGTACTCGGCCGGTCTCAACAAAGCGATCGCCTACACCGGAGAGGCTTACGAAAACATCGGGGAGTTCTTTGCCGAGCAGCCCAGACACGACCTCGACCCGATATCTGACCTGCTGGACATCTACAGAGGTCATCTAGCCAACTTCCCCGACATTGTGGATGTGCAGAAAGGTATGGGCTAAAACAATTGTGTAGTGGCTTTATAGTTTAGTGTGGTAATAGTAAAGGCATTTCAAACTTGCACACCAAGAGACCAAATAAGGATACAAAAATGAACAGCAATTCACAGTTTTTTTTATTTTTTAAAGGGGTTGGAGGAGGCAGGCACGTATTTGATTCCAATTCCTCTTACTTATACAATACAAAACACACACTCACACCATTAGACTGTATATTAGGGGTGGACTGACCAAGAGCGGACGTCACCCAAGAAGCTGATTCGAACATATATGGGCTGTAGCTAATGTCCTTACATGGTCATTTGTAAGTAAGTAGTAGTAAGTAATCTTTATTTATATACCGCCTTTTCACTGCAGATCTGAGTCTCAAAGCGGTTTACAATTGTTAATTTTGGGCATTTGTCTCTCACTCCACACAGAGATGGGAGCGGGGTTGCCAGTACAGGAGGCGCATGTTAGAACTATTGGACATATTTTTAGTGGTAGGGGAAACCGGAGTACCCGGAGGAAACCTACGCAGACACAGGGAGAACATGCAAACTCCATTTGTTTGGACAGCGTTAGCTTTGCGCCATAGCAGGGGAAGATAGAAACTAAACTGTTGCTAACATGGTTGCTAAGGCATGTTTGGGTTTCCCCTGTGAATTAAAGCTGCACTAACTGACTTTGGGATTTTGAAGCCGTGGACTCGCTGGCCTCTCTCTTTCTGCTCCCCTCCCCGCACCCACGAAGCTATCGCCCCCACACACACCCACTGTTGGGACGGAGCTAGTGTCTCCCAATATGTATAAATACATGGATATGGATTTGCACGTGGATGGCGTGACCATAAAACGATAGAACCGGGAAGCGCGGGGGAACGGGACTTTCTTTTGGATGGCTGTCTCGCTAAGTAAGCAGTAACCGGTGATGAAGACACACGAAGCTTCAGGTTAGCTCCTCGGCTTGTTGTGCTAATTCAGCCGTCTATGCTAACGGACCTGTAGATTTCTCACGAAAGTGGGGGCCAGTGGTCCGTTGTGATTGGTCACAATCTGCGACCCGAAACACATTCTCTTCCTTGTTTCATCAAAACTCAATCTAAAATATAATGTCACGCCAGCACAAATCTGCGCTAATTATTCTTCAAAAGGACGTATATCCCAATGCACTACATGGACATGGATAGCATTTTCGTAATGAATACGAAAATAAAGTCAGTTAGTGCAGCTTTAAGGCTTCTTAATTTTGATGGCTTATATCTGGATTTACTGGAAAGATAATATTAAAAATTATAAACCCCAGGATCAAAGAAAGCACTAAACCATGCATTATTTAAGCTCATGTTGAGTGCTCAATGATGAGTGTGACGCAAATGGCTATAGAGGAGATTACTTACTTTAATACTACTTACTTTTAAGTTATTAGGAGCCAAAGCGAGTTGGAGCAAAACTTTGTCCATGAGCACTTCATTGGGTTTCATTGAGCTTGAGGGTCCATCTATATATAGTCTATGACTTTCAGACACACACACAGTCACTCAGACAAGACACAGGTCCAGACACTCTCAGACCCTACACTTTTTTAAGACCACAATCAAGTAACTGACAACAGTGTAGTGAAAGCAGAAATATACTTATACTGTATATATAATTATGAAAAAAGGGAATCCTTGGTATCTTTTTAGTAAATACTTTGTGGAACCCCCTTTCTCTACAATCACAGCGTATTCTTTGATTTAACTCTTTGCACTTTCAGTTTTGCTCCAACTGAAAGTGTGACTGAAAGTTTTTCCCATTTGTCTTTAAAAAATAAACTAGATGGAGAGCATCAGTGTTAAAAGCAATGTTTACAGGTTTTACAATTGGATTTTGAAGTTATTCAATTTGACAAGTTGCAACTTGGAATTCACAAGTGCCATCATTTAAAGTACAGCATCTGTTTAATTGTTGTTTTTAATCTAAATCCGCTATGGTAATTATTATATATAATTATTATATTTCAGATTATGCCAAAGATTTGAAACATGTTATTTCAAGTTTACAATAAGTTTTCAAATGGGACTTCCTGATGGTAAAATGGGCAACGTAACACACTACTATTTCACAGAGAAGAAAAAAGAGAACAAGTACATTTGGTATGATGTGGTGTTTAAATGGTCACCGCTTTTAATAATAAAAAAACATATAATTTATTGAAAAAAAAATTACATAATTGAATTTCCTCAACAACAAAAACCCAGACCAGTCAGTTCAACTCGACATTGTGGGAATGATTTCTCATCCATTCCAATCCTTATGCTATTAAATAATCATGTGTTCTCCGCAGAGAACCGAAGGCAGCCTGTCCTGCTCTCAACAATGGACCACAACCAAATGTTAAGACAGCAGTTTCATATAATCACCATGTTATTTTTAGAGCAGTAATTATCCAACTTAAAGAGCATGGATTAACCTTACCTGGAACCACTATTCCCATAAACATTTATTTGTATGCCCTTGGAATAGTCAGCACCATTTACACAAAACAGACTCTAGATTGATTTACACAATTTACACAATACAATAGAGAAAAGCAGAAATGTTGTTTTAACACAGTTGTGTGACCCTTAAAACCCCCCACACGCACAGTGCAGCTGGTGCACAGTTTGGCTTTTACTCTGGGAATATTCAGCTGAAGGGGAGACTTCATAAATGCTTTGTGGTGGGATTTTATTCTTTGTTTAGTCTTAGCTTTTTTGTTTATATCTCTCTTCAGCTTTTCAAGTTTTTACTCACTTGCGCAGGTGTCAATACAATTCTTTTGGACGTAGCAATTTTTTTGAATGGTTTCTAAGGTTATTAATTTGTCAGTGAATCGATTTGCAAACCTGTTATTATTCATTTTTTAAATATATATACTGTATAAATACATCTTCTAGATACTTTTTATGAGAAAATAGTTAGACCATAGTGATGAATACTGACAAAGAAGATGTGGAACAGAGAAATTAGCTGTAAACTAAGGCTTTTTACACTTACTAGAGTTACCAAGAGCGGGTTTTCAGCTCCTCACAACTACAATTTTAGGTCAGACTCCTTGGACTTCTTATTCACTCCCAGTTGATCCAGTCTGTTTGTCTCAATCATTTCATTCTCCCTTCTCATTTCCAGTCATCTTTTCTACACGCTCACCCTGAGATTGCCTCTCCCTATGTTAAAGATCACCAAGTCTCTGCTTTCTTTCGCCTATCGCCAGTCTGCAGCCTGTTCTTGTTTTATTTCACAGACTGACAGCTCACAAAGCCTCCACTCCTCCTGCTCCAAATGAGCCACATGTGTTTTCATTTACCAAACTGCAGCCTCAATGTAGGTTGAAAGCTGAAACCTGGGGCTGAAGCATTGTGCCGGTCCCCTGTTCTCGAACTCACACCCACACACACACACACACACACACACACACACACACACACACACACACACACACACACACACACACACACAGTGTAGTGGAGTTGGCTTGTTAATGCTGTACAAACCCAAAAGAAGGAAGCATATTAGTACTGACAAGCACACAAGTCCTAACATACTCAGAACCACAGCCAAGAGACAGGGATACCGTACATACCGACAGTGTGATAGCCGGGACTTTTGACCCACTTTTGACCCACTTTTGACCAAACTTGTTTACGTTGGAAGTTACTGTGGACGAGCCTGATTGGGTCATTTGTTATACTTGAGCCTGAATGAGAAGGATCAGATTACTCTCTATCATATTTTGATGGTGGTTTTTACCGTAAAAGTGCCCTTCAAATATGTATGTAATTATTTTTGCTTCAGAAACCGCTACACTGTCTATAGGACTTGCTTATTTCATTGGAGTGAAGTGATGTCAAACTAGTGCAGGGGATTAAAATGTGGAATTGTTTCACAGTTCATTTCATTTTGTTTGTATTATTACAATAATCTTATTAGTTTTCTGAGCCAGACCGTTTTTCATTTTCATGTTTTCCAGTATAATGACGATTAATGTAAATGATTATTCAATTACTAAGATTGTTCCCAACAGGATAATTACTAAGCTAGTTTTCAAATTGTCTACTGTTTTAGTAATAAATTCTTCCAAACTGCCAAACAGTAAAAAGGTATTATCTCAATATTTCCAGACAACATTGTTTTATCATAAAAAACTAAATTTAGTCTGTAAATATTGGGATATTAGAATGTCCTTAGCAGAATAGACTGAGGACATTCAGGTTTTGGGACATAAACCATCATGTGCTTATTTGTTATGTATTTTTAAGAGACTTAAAAGTTGTCATTCTCATCTTTATCCTCATGCACTGTTGTATCTGATGAGAATAAGTATTTTGTGTAACCACACTTTGAAAGGACAATTAAGTGTTTTCCCAATAGCTATACTTGGTGTGAAATGTAGATCAAATCTCACATTGCAATTCTAAAAAACAACAATTGATAATTCAGATATTAGTTAAATCTCTAAACCTCTAAACTAGTGTATGTCAATTGTCAATTGCAGTCTCATCATAGATATATTTTTCACCGTTCATAATTTTGTCTTTTAGTTAGTTCAAATGATAGGACTGAAAAACCAGTTGGGAACCAGTCATTTATCATAAAGAAAACACGAGCTACAACCATTTCAACAGGATGGATACACAATGGTACATGGCGGTACAGCTGGATGAGGCACTACACCCTAATAACAAAGAATAGGGAGTAAAAAAAAAAAACTTGCAGACAGCACAAATGTGTGTGTGTGTGTGTGTGTGACTAATACAGAAGTTAGAGACTATAGTGTTTTCTGGGTAACTCCCTTCACTTCATCTGCACAATATAACGTTTGTGCTGAGCTTGTAAAACCACCACATCTGAGACAAGACACGCTGGAGTCTCTGTTTCTCCAGCCTTGTTAACTTAATAGTATCGTCAATTTATGAAAAGACAATTTGGACAATTTGGTGCCTGGTTTTATGTGATACTTACTGGTGCTTGTTTACTTTTAGTTGAGAAGTAAAAATAAATTAAAGTAGAATATGTGTAATATGTTGATATGGATCTTGAGGAAGTAAATAATACGCAAAACTAATATGTAAATGTTATGGCAGGGGCTCAGTGGTTAGAACATTTGACTGTTGAGTCCCAGCTCCGACTCATGAAGCTTAAGCGAAAATTCAGAGTGGAAGACCTGAGAACCCAGCTCTGAGCGCTCCTGCTGTTGCCCACAGCAACAGCAATCAGTCAATCACACTCAGCTGCGCAACGCCTCACGCAAATCCTCACCTGCAGCAATCAGGCACTGCCCGCATCAGCTTCACATCACGCAGAAGTTCCATCCAAGCAGCAGCTTCATTCACGCTGCAACCCTCCTCCTCCCCATCTCCGCCTTGTTCTAGACCAGCTCCTTCATCCTTCTCCTAGCTACCACCACCAGGGTCTAGGCCCCGGGGGATTTCATCTCATAATCTCTTTCCCCTTCTGCAATCGTGCAGTGCTCTGCCGGGGTCTAAGCGCCAAATCCCAACCACATTCTGTTCAGCACAATAAATGTAATCTTGAAAATATTGTCTTCAGTGTCATATGTGTAATTCATGCAGTGTCAGATTACCTGCCAACCAACATACAATTCTAATACTATGTTTGCCTGTTCGAGTCTCTCCAGATTGAATTATGTTTCTGTGCTGGTGACGGATTGCATTAGCCAGGTCTTACCACACCATTGTTACAAATTTCATCTCGTACTAAGGTCCGGATTTGTGTCCATTCAGTTAGAGCTGTTACCTCCTTTTGCAGATTGAAACGATTGGATCGGAGTTTGTCGTGACGTATGTAACCCCCCCCGAGTGAGTCGCTAGCATATAGCCTAGCCATCCCTTTGCCGCTGACGGAGCACGTTGGGAGTAGAGCCACAACATATTTGCCAGCAATGACATTTGCTAAACCTCTTCTTCCGGCTTCAATTTCTTGATATTTGGAGCCGAACCAGAAAGGATTACTTTACAATCGCATTTGCCGCTAGCCTGGTCGTACCACACCATATTACAAATGACATTTCGTACTAAGGTCTGGAGGTGCTCCATTGAACTCCGTGAACAGGTGGGAGGGGTTAACTCCTTTTGCAGATTGAAATCATTGGATCTGAGTTTACCGTGATGTATGTAGTGCGCCCGAGTCTGTTGTTAGCATTTAGCCTAGCCATCTCCTTTGCCGCTAACGGAGCCCGTGGGGAGTAGCGCCACAATTTTTTCCAACGATTACATTTGCTAAACATTACCCTTGCTCCAGCTTCAATTTCTTGATAGAACCAGACCGGATTACTTTACTATTGCATTTTTCGCCATTACCAAACTACAACCTGCCTGTTCGACGCAAACTCTTTACATCACCCACAACTAACTGCAACAACTGCCTTCCGCGCTCTCTGAATGGTCGGTCGAAATTCAACCGATTGTAATCGCTAACACAGGGACCAGACCCAGATGTTACATGCAGTGAAATGATGATCTAACGGAGTATACGGATGGCTAAGGCCAGGCTAATTTGCCGCCATTACCAAACTACAACCAACAAATTTTGGCACAAACTCTTGACGTCACCGACACCTACCTACAACACCCGCCTCCCCCGCTCGCTGATTGGTCAGATGGGATACAATCGAGGTAATCGCAGCCACTAGAAGTAGACCCAGACGTTCATGTATGGAAATAATCATTGACCGGAGTTTACGGATGGCTAAGGCCAGGCTAGGATTGCAAAGAAACAACGGCTAGATTGGCATTCTTGCTTCTGTCAGTCTACCTCAGGGCAGCTGTGGCTACAATTTACTTCTACGGTTTCAATTCACTAATACTGTGCAATAAGGCCTTTCCTTATGTTGAAATGTCACGTCAACCGGGTACAACAGTGGGAAAGGTTGGTGTATGGTTTGGACCCGGATTGGAAGAATGGAGGGCATTAAGATTATCATCCACATGGATCAATATAAATATTTTTTACAAGGATAATTTCATATTGAAAAGAGCAGCAGGCGCGCAGGTTTTTGGCTTCTCTAGTTTCGGACCTCCTATCGATCTTTTACGACACTTTTGATGCAAATATGGTTAAAGCTGAACTTGCCATTTTAAAAGTCTGCAGAAGTCAGTGATTTTCCATTGTTTTGGTTGATCTGAAGGTCGAATCTAATATATCTATTGGCGCCTTCGCAGATGCTAAGAAGAGCGTCCTTGATGCGACTGGTTTAAAATTCACATGCATGCTGTAAAACTCTGGTTGGGTCTTTTTACCAACAACCTTCTGCTGTCGTCTGCTGTGACATGATCCCAGAGCTCCACATCTTTCCTCATTTTCTTCTCTACCTTGAAAATCATATTGCCTTGCTCTTGTTAAATGCCCTACAATCTCCTTTAAGTATCTCTCTTCATGTTTTGGGTGGAGGGGGAATCGAGTGCCGAGAGGAAACGCATCCAGACACACACCACACAGAAAGGGCCTGAAATAAAATCCATTTTTTCATTGATTGATTATTGAGGCTATTTCGACATTCGAATACAATCAAATTATGAAATATATAAACTTGGCAGACGGGTTATGATGACATATTCCAATACTGAACTATGGTCGTTCACAATGTCATGCCAGTCCTGTCAGCTGGCCTTATCATCTGACTGCGCTGACTTCATCTGATTTGAATGAGCACAGATTCTTGGGCTCTTGTCCTGTGTTGCCTTGGGACAGAAGGAATGCAGAGTGGATTAGCTCCCCCACCCCGTCCCTCCTCCCCCTTTCTTCACCCTCTTTTCCGCCCTGTTCTCGCTTTTACAGAAGCAGCCAGAGGAAGAAGGTGGTTTTGGTGCTTCCAAGTTTCCCTCTCCAGTCTGAAGTGCAATTTCGCATTATTAGGCCTCTGTTATCTCCATGATGGCTGCAGGGAAAACCCACGCTGATATGAGTCAAAGTGGGTGATGTAAAATAGTTAATGTGTGTTTTGTTACTGGACTTCCTGTCTTTCATGCTGCGGTTCAGACTGAATGACCTAATGCGATAGACGTATAAAGCACGTATTGTCCAAGAAATTCTCAAGAAATCAACTTCTTTCAATATTCACAAAAATCAGACAAATGAGGACAGAAAGTGGGAAAGACTCGAGACAGATTGTGACACTGGGCAAAATTTGACATGTTTTTCCTGGTATCAAGTAAGACGTTAATATTATTAGCAAATTCAGCACATGTAAATATTGGTTTTGTATTTTTGAATTGGTTTAATCGGCTTCTTCCTTCTTCTTTTTAGCTTAAGAAAAGGTTTGTGTTCCAGATTATATCTCAATTCACATCATGCAGCCGTCTACATTTTAAAGTATTTCTAAGTAAATATGAGATTTCATAACACTTTTAAGCAACTTTTGTTAAAGTTAAACTCATCATTCTATCAATGTGCAGAAGCCAGTACTTTTCCCTTGTTTTGTCTATCTGAAGGCCAAGCTACATGGCACCGTGGCAGCTGCTGATTGGAGGTCTCCATGCCTCCGCTCTGTATAATACACTTGCATTCTGTTGTATCTGTGATCGTGTTGTTCGTGCTGTCTCTACCATTGACAATAAAACATGTCTTCTGTCTGAATTTAAGACGCGATCCCAGACTTTGTCATCTTCTTCATAAATATAAACACAGATCCATAACATAACCCTTTAATGATACTTGGATACAAACAAATCAAATAAAAAAAAAGGTTATGTTGTTGCTTTTAGCCGTAGAAGCTAGTCTTATGGTAGTTTGTTTACAGCTTTATAACACCCTTCTGGTTATTTAATAGTCAGTTTTTATGGTTTTGCTTTATTTGTTTATTGGCTGTATTATTAAATTTGTAAAATAAAATGTTGTACTTTAAACTTGTTGTGCAGAAGGCCACTGTGTAAAAAAAAGAATCAAGAAACGTGGATTAGTAATGAATTAGAGATGTATCAGTCATTGTTTGTTCATGCTTCTTTTGTTCTTTTGAAGCATGACACACAGGACATTTGTAATCAGATTTCATAATTTTGTTTTGTCTGATTTCTTTTTAAATATTGTATGTTACAGCTTCCATTCAGCCACCCTCTCAACTTTAGTCAAACTTTACTCAGTTTAGACACGCACCTCATTTTTAAAGCTCAAGAATTCTATTATTATTGATGACTGTAAAATGTCTGCAGCATTTATTAAACTGTATTTACTGCATTATGTTTCAATATGATTTTTGTATTATTATTTTTATTATGCTGCTTCAGAGTAAGAAAATATTTTGTATATTGTATTATTATATGTATATGACAGATAGCTCTAGTTTGTCTTAAGTCCGTACCATAGAACCCAGACATAAATATATTTGTTGAACAAAATGATCCGTGCTATTTTTGGAAAGGAGCATTCAATGACCAAATTTGGCAATGTAGCATCTCTTTGGGTCCTTGGGTACATACAGAACATGCAGTACACTAGAACTCCCAGAACTGTCATTTTGACTGCCCCATTCAAACCAATAGAATTCTTAAAGATTCCCCCAAAAAGTGTATTCATTTTTATTAAGTGCAAAAACTGGTGAATGTATCTGAAATACGGCAACAACCAAAAGACAATATGATGAAAAGTGACTAACTGCTTACAGCTGACAGTAAACAGTGTATTGATATGGTAACTAGCAGTCGCTCTGTTTTGTGGAAAATAAAGACAAGAAATATACTACGTATAGAGGCAGAAATAGTCAGAAAGTTCTGACTCCATCGAGTGTACTAATAACCTTCTTTATTTGTTTCTGCAGGTGCTCTGACCAAGGTGAAGGACTGTCCTCAGCAGGACACACCTCTGCACGAGCGCTGTAACATCATCTCTTGTGCGACGCTGGCTGAGATCCAGCACTTCCATCGCACACGAGTACGAGACTTCCGCTCGCAGATGCAGCACCACCTCCAGCAGCAGATCGTCTTCTTCCGAAAGATCACGGCCAAACTGGAGGACGCACTGCAGAGATATGACGAGCAGTAAGCAGCTGGATATAGAAAGCAGAGAGGAGAGAGAAGAAGAACCTGGAAGTATCATAGACTGTAGAAGGAGTGGACTTAAAGAGTTTCTGGCGTCACCCATATTGTTGGCCTAATGCGGAAAAAGCAGATTAGAGCTAACTCAAATAGGCTCTATGGACGGGAATCTGAAATGCCGTAGGTAGCAACAGCCAAGCAACAAAAGAGCCAATCAGGAGTGACGCTTGACCATTCCTGCTCCCTTGCTGAATCCAAGTTTGGAGAAAGAATGTACCTGATTGGTCAGTTGTTCTGGCTCATAAATGGATTTACAAAGACATTCTCAAATTAAAAACACCAGGACCATACAGAACATTAAACCATGGATTTGTATGCCCAAAATGGTGAGTATGACACAAGTGGTTACAGAGCTAGAGGAGTTTACTTTTCAATGTAAGTCAATGGGAGCAAAACTTTGCCCCTGAGCACTTCCCTAGTCGTCCTTCTTCATACAGACCATTGGATAAATGATTATGAAAAAGTAGGTCACTGGAACTTCAATAGCTTCCTGGATTCTTTGAAGAGCTCTGATGAATGTACCAGGAACAGGGGTTTTGCTGACGACACCCGAGGCAAATGTTGTCAGTGTAATATTAAAAGCAGCTGTTTGCTCCGACTGCAGCTTCCTGGTGTCAAGGTCACATGATCTGCCTCTACTGAAAACCTCTCAACCCATTTGACTTGAACTGGATGCGATCTCCATCTGTCCTTTGGTTTGTTTTTACTTGAATGACCTGCTCAGTATTGTAGAGACTTGGACATTGCTTCTTCAAAGTGCGCTTAAGTTTAGAAGTTTTATCATTTCTAACGCTGGGACTTATTGAAACAGAGCAGTGTTCAGACAGCCCTATATCATTTTTTGTTCATTCCAGTTAGAAAATGTTTTTAATCGTTAAAAACATGGCAGTTGTTTGTAAGCATTAAAACGATGCATGCATTCTACTGTAGGTCTATGTCCTTTTGTCCATCACTAGAGATGTAACGATTCATTGAAAATTTGGAATCTATTTAAAATCTATTTAACTGCTTAAAAATAGTCAGGTTGCAATGAGAGGTTGATAATAATAATACGTTTTATTCATTCAGGTTCATATCAAATGTTTAATGTCACCTTACAGGATAAAAACAATACAATACTAATTACGTCGTGCAACAGAACAGAAAAATATTAAATATATAGTTGCTAATGGACAATGATCAGGGGGGGTGACACTGACAGAACAGAACAGCACAAAACATGTAAATGTCAAAATATAGGAAACATGTTCAGCTTTGCAACATTTTGTCATGAAAAAAAAGTTAAAATCACAAAATAACAGAATTGGGAGCCTAAAACTGGAAACCAAATCAGCTCGAGTGAATCGTTCCATCCCTATCCATTACCTGAATCATGTTTGTACCTTTGACAGTGGTCATCATCATTTGAGAATGTTATTCCCTTTTTGCATGTCCTGATTAAACGTCGACAGGACACAGCAACTGCAGACTGCTAGACATGAGCTTCACTACCGTTTTAGCAGGTGCACTACTCTTGTGTCTGTTGTCTTCTGTAAGAAATACAATAACTTAAATGCCTACAATATACTTCATAACGTATGTTTCAATAAATAAACATGTATCATGCTATATACAGTATGTGTGTGTATATATCTGCACAAGGCTTGTTTACTGCTGTCTTGGAATGTAAATTTATTTTGAATAGAAGTTTATTTCATCATTGTCAAACAAGCAACAATGAAATACACAGTGAAATGGAGGGACTGAGGGATTTCATGGCTTGCAAAGAGAAGCTGTTTAGTTTTGAATGGTCCAAGCCGGAGGGAAGAGTAGTAAAAAGTCCATGTTGCTTATTGAAGTGTTTTCAGCCATGTGCGATGTGTTTCCATCCTTGTGTGTGGGTCTGTGTGTGTTCTCCCGTCTACATTGAAACATGTCCTCTAGAGTCGGTCCGTCTGCAGTCACCTCTGATATGTGACACTCGGCTCACACTCAGGTTACTCCCTCTGCTCCTTCATTATTTACACATACTTGTGTTTATTCAATCAGATTCCACATCAACAGTCATGATTTTTCCATTATAACCAACATATTATTACAAGTGACAGTACATACAAGTCCGTTGCACATAAGCCACACATAAAAGAACATGTTATTTTTTATTTTATTCAAATAGTTACAATTGTGCAAAACTAGCGTAGGAAAGGTTTCAGTGTATCATTACAAATTAGCCTTTTAACAATAAAATATGCTTTTTATTTATCAAAATTATATTTCCTCCCAAAATGCGTAACTCTAATCCATTTTAAGTCGTCTTCTGCTACAAACAAAACTGTTATTTACAGTCGCCCTGGTAACATAGAACTACACTAAAATCATTTCAAAACAGCATTCTGTCTTAAAGCTGAGGTACCTAATCTTTTCCATTTTAAATACATGTTCTTTGGCTCAACAGAAAGTATTGTTATGAGCCAATCAGACCACTACATGCTTCATCTTGAGCCTCTTCTCTGCCAAGGAGGCGCTTGTCTCTTGCGGCGCTTGTGGTTTGTACGGGCCGTAAGAAAGAGCCCTTTGAGTCACTATTTGACACTTAAGGCTGAGTGAAAGTAGTCCTCTCTATTTTGACGTTCTAAAGTTAGGTATCCCAGCTTTATTGTTTTTGAAATAAATCGATCAGCCCTTCATGTAAATTTCTCCTCTGTGAGATAAATAAAGCTTATCTTATCTTATCTTATTCCGTAATGCTTCAGTATGTAGTGCAAAAATGACTTTAGAAAAAACTAAATTACAATTACAAGATTTGTCTTAATTGTCGAATAAACTGAGATAGTGAGAGTATTTCACATCTTATTATTTTCCGCCACTTAAAGAAGAAATATTATGCATTATTTTTTGATAAATTAAGACTCTTGTCATGTTTTGAAAATGATATTTAGCACATATGTGATGAAACAAGTATGAAGTGTAAGAAATGCTCTCTATGCTACCAACAGAGGGAGAATTTGTTTTTGTTTTTTCCCAATTTGAAAATTACTGGCTGATACCATTGCCCTGCCATTGAAAAGTACATAGATAGGAAATACTTCAGTTTCAAACGGAGATAAACGGCTCTGAGCGTGATGTCATAGTGGTACAATGACATCATACTATCACAGGACTGAGACAGGAGCTTTTGGACTGAATGAGTCCAAAAAGTTCCAAGAAGTTCTTGACATTAGCTTGAATGGATCCAAAAACGAATTCCAATTTTGATGAGAGAACAATGGTGTAAAATTAAAAGCTCAACAAATTTGCATAATACGTCTCCTTTAAAACAATCTAAGGCACAATCCTGTCGCATCCTGTTGCATCAAACCCAGTACTGACTGTCTTTAAGCGAAGGGCCTTGGTATCTGGACCTGAGCGGGCTTTGGAACGCTGAGGAACTATAGACATTACACCGCATTAGATTATTCTTCTCATTCAATTCCCTTCGTACAACATTCCCATCATCATCAAACGGTCCCCAAAATGTCGTCCCGGGGGCCAGGCTCCTTCTTCTGGGACATATGGGTGTTCTGGGAGAGGTGGGACAGCTGGACGGCCCGAGAGGCGTGACCACAACACTGGGCATGGCCGTTCTCCTCTCCCCACATCCCGAACTCGGACTACCGCTGCCTTCCGACAGGGGGGGTAGCGCGGCTAACTCCTGGAGCAGCCGGATCTGAGCTTGCTTCTCTTTGCGGTGACGGAAAACCAGGATCAAGACCACAAGGATGATGATGAGAAGCAAACACGCCAGCAGCGGTAAGATGATGAGGAGAGGGTCGGAGGCGGGACGAGGGAGGATTTCGTAGTAAACCGGGTGCGTGTCTCGGATTTCCGGTTCAGTTTTGCCTGGAATCGTTGCCGTGGGATTTGGACCGGCTGATTTTTCCCCATGTGTCCCAGAGTTACGCGTATGGTTTCCCCAGCGATGATTATTGCGCCCTCTATGGTGAGTTCTGTTGTGGTTTTTGTTTGAAAAGATGTGTGGGTCTCTAGTCTGATTCGGCGTTGTTACTCCGACTTTCCGATGGCCTTTCTCTCTGCTTGTTGTTCTGTTGTGACTTGGGACGCGAGCGGTTGTGTTTTCTCGATGCAAAGGACCATGATGCATTTGGTGATGTGGTAAGATGGTGAAGTGCAGCTCGCCTTTCGCCGGTTGGACGGTGCCGGCTCTGACCAGGAAGACAAACGAGTCGTTGAGGGGCCGTGCAGGGGCGTGGCCTTGTGCGGTTGATGGGAGAGACTTGTTGCCTTGGATACCATCGTCGTTGTCATCGAGATTCTCCTCAATGGCGACCCGCCCCTGGACGATATCTCGGAAAGTGAAAGACTTAAGTACTTCGGAGGGCTGGCTGGGATCGTAGGTGATCTGTGAATAAGACGGATGCAGTGAATGTGAGAGTATTTGGGATTCTTTGGGACAAAACACCTTCTACTCAAACATAATCAGGTGCTATGTGTACTGGGTGAAGCTCTGACTGCCACCCCCCAACCCAGAAATGGATTAAGGGGAAGACAATGGATGGATGGATGCTCTATATTTTGAAATATTTTGACATTTTTTTGTTTCTCAACGTGCTACACTAAAGTTATTCATTCACAAGGTCTGAGAAAACTACTCCATCCGTCACAGCTGCCTTGGGGTGACTTAGAGAAGCGAAGCAGCTATTATTTGCTATTGCCACCCAATTCACCCAACAGATTTGAGCTAAAATCAATGTTTGTTTTTTATTTGTTATTTTTGTTCATTGGCCTTAAGGCCAGAAAGTCGTGGGTTCAATTCCCACCTCTGCACCTTCTCCATCGACTCCCACTGATGACTGCTGTCGTTGTGTCCTTGGGCAAAATATTCAACCTTGCCTAGTATGAGTTTGATGTGTGAATGATGGTGGTGGTGGTGGAGGAGGAGCCAATGACACAGATTAAAATGAATATGAAGTCGAATACCTTGACCAGTTTGCCGTGCTTGGGTGGAGACAGCACCTGGAACAGCGGGTCGGCCCGGCTGATCCTGGCCAGCTCTGAGGCATCGATCATGGCTTTGCCCAGTTTGACAGCAATCCCACTGGGCACTCGGACCGGTTCCCTCAAGTACACGAGTGGAAGGACCTTCACCGTCACCGTCTGCGCCGCCACATTCCCGTACTCCACACCTGGGGAACTTGCAGAAACCGAAACCTGAAAGCTGTCCTCTGATTCGCTAAGTTCTGTCATGTGATACACCACTCGCCCAAACTGCAGGTCCTCGTGATGGAAGGTTGTGACTTCTCGGTCGTTGATGGCGATGCGGCCGTGGCGTGGGTGCGAGATGACGGTGTAGGTGATGGTGGACGGGCTGCGACTATTGGTCTGCGCCGACAGCTGAGTGGTTGTCAGGACCACAGCGGTTTTTCCTTGGACCAATGAGAGGCCAGTGTTGTTCACCATGAAGACGGAAGGCTTGACCACCTCCAGGCTGAAGAGTTTGTAGAGCGGGCGATGATGGCCGTCGGTGACATTGAAGTAAAAGACCCCTGTTATTGGTTCACCCTGAGAAAAAAAAAAGTGTCCAAAATGACCAAATCCATTCCATATTTTGTTGCTTTATATGTTGCTCCTTCACATTCATATTCTCTACTTTGATTTAGAAGATCATGGTTAAGGTTAAGGTATACTTTATTATCTTTGTAAGGAAGTTTGTCCTTTTTTTGTAGTGAAATACGAAGAATCAGACCAGATGTTGACTCTTGTCTTGGTCAGAACCACTTTTGCTGGAGGATTTTACCCATGGTGCATGTTTTTGGTTTTTAGTGTCTGTATGAAACCGACCCAGACATGGATAGAAACATGCACTCCACACAGAAAGATCTGAGAATCTAACCCCCGAGATTTTTACTGTGAGTCCAGAAGTCAATATTCTGATTCTGAAACTGTATTTGGAGTGTACATACAGTATAGACGTTGTCAAAATCTATATTCATGTGATACTGGGTCATTATTATTCTTTCAACCAAACATATACTGTATGTGAGATAACATGTCTCTCAAATGGATTCAGGATCAGTTACATATTGAAATTACTGTAGCATTTCCTATAAAAGTAAAAGTACCTTCTGGCTTTATTTGGATATTTGCAGAATTCTTTTTCCTTTGAGCTAAGTTATTTTAGTTGTATTTAAAGCAGGAGCTGTTGATGAATACAAATACATAAGTAACTAATCGGTAGTTTCCCTGTGATTCCTTCTTGAAAAGTGTCTGTCAAAGTGCACATGATTCCCTGCAAAACACTCATTTGGCGGAGAAATGGTTGTTGCCAAAATTAGTTAAACATGATTGTGTTTTGACCTGAGAATAATAAGTGGAATGTTGACGTAAACATTCCACTGCAACATTAAACCTGTTAAACCTAATGCACGTTTGGAAAGTACTGTACTGTACAAAGAAATGGAAGACACTGAGGCCTGAATGATAACAGACATATTGACAGATAACAGATCATCTCAAAAACCTCAGTAGAATGTATTTTGTGGATAAAACGTGTTGTCTGGACCTTTCTTGAATCATTGCAAACCTTCTGTATGAAGTGCAGACGTCCGTGGTTGACGTCATATTGTGTGAAGGAGGTCACTGGCTCTGGTCTCTCCCCCAGAGTCAGGTAGCCGTTGTTGGGTTTACTGATCACCATGTAGTGCAGCTCCTCTGGGGGCGTGTCATGGTCCTCAACCTGCACAATCAGCACATACTGTATTTACAATCCCATTACTTCTGATTACATAAAGTGTCAGTAATAATAATGATTACGAGCTTGATTAGGGAATTGTGTTGTGCTCTGTCTCCTTTTAACTTCTACAATTCACTCTGTGTAGTTTGATTTGGGAACATTTATGATGTTGAATTGATGTGGATAGGGGTGTTGCATTTTACCTTTATTTGAACTGTCAACTAGGGCATTCTATATATGAATTCTGTAAACCTGCTGTCCCTCGGCCCTGCACAGAGTGAAATTTAGCTTGTAGCTCTGCTCGGTCTGAAAAATACTGTAGTATTATTATTGTACAATGTCCCTGTCAAATAAAAAATAAAACAAAAAATCAAGATGGAACAATAATTGATTTGTCTCCAGGGGGAATTATGTCCTCTATTTGACCCATCGTTCATAGCTGTCAGGAGTGGACATCTATATCAAAATTATTTTAAATTCAATAATCAATATAGCAACAAATGAAACTTGTAAAACCGTAAAATATACAGTTTTAATTCATACAAAAAAAATCCCTAATTAGGCAGTTAATTAAAGTATCTACATGCCACATTAACTTTGTGTTTAAAGTTGGAAAAGTGAGCTGATGGTGCAGATTAGCAGCCAGGCTTCTGTCAAACTGCCCAAGGGCATCTGTGGCTACAACAGTTTAGAAATGTTTGTTTCTATTTATTTTCATTGGGACAGTGCATGTCAATTATCGCAGTTCCCCGGAACTTAACCTTGGAATGTACCTTGGGCTACCAGCATGTGTGTCCGTTGTCCCACAGTCACACTCATAAACACACACTCATTTACTCTGAACTCAAACTTGAACATGTTTTTAGTGGTATGGGGAACTGCAGCATGAGATTACAGACACGGGAAGAACATGCAAATTAAATGGTCTGTCTAGAGGCGGAATTGAACCCAGAACCTTCTTTCTGTTGAGCACATTTGTTAACCGCTGTGCCATGTGCCGCACGCGTATGAGTAAATGAATATTTTGACAAGAGAAAGTATCTTATCATTATATAAAAAATTCAGTGCATCCATTGTACCTGCAGATAGTCTGGTCCCAGCACCACTCTCTCCCCCACCACCACCTTCAGGCTGGGGGCTCGGGTCCTGATGAGCGGAGGGTGGTCGTTCACCGGAGTCACTGTGATGTTGAACATTTCGGTCACCACCATTTTGCTGTTGCTGTGACGATGGGCCGCCTGGTTGGGAAGCGATTGGGAGGCCGCGGCAGAGTACAGAGGGGAGTAGGAGGAGGCCTCAGAGGAGAGAGATTTGAGGGATGAGGAGACGGCAGCAGGGGTGTCCAGAGGAGCCCCCGCCAAAGGAGCCACCCAAGCTCGGAACGTGAAACTGTCACTGGTCGTCTCTGAGTCGTCGTGGACGTACGTTACGCCGTGTCTGTTCAGAGTGACCTGGGAGAAGTCTGCTTTGTCCCTGGAGAGAGAATAATCAACAGTTAAGGTTATATTTAAGATAGAGATATACTTTATTGAGTCTGTGTTTTCGTAGTATGACATTATTGGGCAGATTTCCGGGGAGATTTCAAATGTACAGTTCATGCAAGGCAACACCGGAAATTACAGAAACTGGAGGCATGTTATTACTGGGTGTGTACAGTGCAAATACTTACTTTTTGCTCTAAAAATGTCTTATGGCAGTGTTTTTCAACCAGTGTGCCATGGGACGTTAGAATGCCTTGAGTCGCTGTTTTGTGTGCCTTTGGCAATCTTATATAATCTAAATGGCCAATATAATGTGAAAATACATTTTTTTGCACTTGTTTGATTCTCATTATAAAACAGCCGGATGAGAAGGACTTTATATTGTTCCATTGTTTATTTATTGTGTGTCGTGTACTCCACATTTCTACTGTTCTGTAACTGAGAGATACAGTAGATAGATAGATCTGAGATGTTGCTGCAGTACGGTATGCATAGTTTTGCACTGGTCCAGACCGGAGCAGAGAGGATTCATGGTCTGAACCAAGTGGATCATGTGAAAACCCACTGGAGGAAGGCTAACTTTTTGATGCTAATGAAGAATTTAGCATTTTACTTTGGACTAGAGCAGAGATAATGGTTCGAACCAAGCGGCTACTCCACCTTGTGACCCGACTCAAAAAGGTTGGAGAACGCTGTCGTATGGGATGCGGTACCTGGTCAGATTTTGTCCCTGGATCGACAGAACTCCGTGATTTGGCCAAGAAACCACACTGTACATAACGTAATGTCCTTTCTGCTGAGCCTCTGGCAGCTTCATGATGAGATTTGTGGCATCAAGTTTGGATCTATCAATCTTGACCGTGCCTCCCTCGGCCACCACAGCACCTGCACAGGAGGCAAAGTAGGCATTAAGGCAAAGTAGAAAAATGTCTGGAAATGTGGCAAAATGCATAATGGATTTTACCAGCATTGTTGAGCAGCATGGTTTTGGAAGAATGGTCGTGTCTCTTGTTTGCCTGGTACGAGATGAGAATGGAGAAAGTGTGTGGAGGGAGGAACGCAGGAGGAGAGGACACGGTGAAGGAGAAAGTGTCCGTTGCTGACCATCCAACCATCTCAGGCTTGTTTTGCTGATACAGAACTTGGCCGTCATTTAACTACAGAAAGAAGAAAAGATAGATGTCTTTGTTCAATCAAGGGGAGACATAAAAAACAGGAGAAAATGCTTTATTATTTCTCAAACGCTCCTACTGTCATGAGATAAAACAAGGAAAGACCCAAAATCCAAACTGCAATTAATATAGTTGAATGAAAGCCATAAGAAAAGTCAGAACTAAAACCAGGGACTAGACATGGGGAAATACCAACAATGGACTGACAACAAGAGGACAGGAGCACAGGGTCTAAATACACACAGGGAGACACAGGTGTAACACAGCAGGGAGGGGAAAATAATCAAAAGAACAGACAGGAAGTAAAACTCAAACTCAACAAGAGAACAAATATATATATACTGTATATCCAAATACAACCTAATGAAAAAAAAAAAAAATATTCCACACCGTTACACCTTCAGCCGTGTATACATTTCTCAAGTAGCCGCATATAATGATCACAGACAATTTTAATGTCTACACATACAGTATGTTCCAATATTTAGTTTATACATAAGCAGAAAAAAACGTTATCAACATTGTCACTCCAGATTTATATCACAAAAAAGGCTAAAATACAACACTTTTTACATAAATGTATTATGTGCATGTAAAAAAGACAGCTTGTAATTAACAATAAGACAGCATTTATTCTGTTTAAGGAATTTTGGCCCATTCTTCCTGACATAACCGGTGTAAGTCAGGTTTGCAGGCCACTTACACACTCACTTCTTTTTGAGATCTGCGCAGACATTTTAAACAGGGTGAAGATCAGGGCTGATCCTGGCTGACCTCTCTGACCAATACAGTGTAACATCACGACCTGTATATATGGAGCTGGGATGGATCTCTCTCTCTCTCTCTCTGACCAATACAGTGTAACATCACAACCTGTATATATGGAGCTGGGATGGATCTCTCTCTCTCTCTCTCTGACCAATACAGTGTAACATCACAACCTGTATATATGGAGCTGGGATGGATCTCTCTCTCTCTCTCTCTCTGACCAATACAGTGTAACATCACAACCTGTATATATGGAGCTGGGATGGATCTCTCTCTCTCTCTCTCTGACCAATACAGTGTAACATCACAACCTGTATATATGGAGCTGGGATGGATCTCTCTCTCTCTCTCTCTCTGACCAATACAGTGTAACATCACAACCTGTATATATGGAGCTGGGATGGATCTCTCTCTCTCTCTCTCTCTGACCAATACAGTGTAACATCACAACCTGTATATATGGAGCTGGGATGGATCTCTCTCTCTCTCTCTGACCAATACAGTGTAACATCACGACCTGTATATATGGAGCTGGGATGGATCTCTCTCTCTCTCTCTCTCTCTCTCGGCCTAGTATCTAAAGCAACCACATTTTCATGAAAACAATGATTTAAAGTACACAGTATTTGAATGTAGGAACAATCAGCTTTCTGAAGTCGTACCATATTCTGGGTGAATGTCGAGATGTTCCGTGTGGAGTTGTCTGGCGAACGCTGGAGCAGACGGCCGAGTTTAGGGGGTCTGGTGACGGCGAACACCACCGACTGATTCACGAGGGTGATGTCACTGAAGATGACCTGAAGCTGCTGCGCCGTGATGGGAGTGACTGAGCCTACGAGAGAGAACGGGGCCATCATATATTTGTACAGCACATTTCAAATGCATTCACAAATATTACACTTATAAGGAGCATAAAGAAACATTTTACACAATAAACAATGTGAAGGTTGAGGTCTGAGGGTCTGATACTGAGCAGAAGTGTTGTCAGATTTTGTCAGATTTTGAAGGGCTTTCAAAAATTACTATACATATTTTGAAGTCAATTTTTCCGTGAGTCAGGAGCCAATAAAGATCTTTTTGATATTGCCATAATAACATGAGATCTTTATTCAAGTCTGTCAGAACACAAGCTGTAGATGAAAGAGAAGAAAAGCTCAAGAACCTGGTAAATGCATCAGCGCATTCCCACAGAGGTTTTACTTCTCCAAAAACATGCCCTGAATTTGTGTTATGGACAATATCATATACCTCCCTCCGTGTCTGTACTCGTGTCTGTACTAGGGCTGAGCGATATGGCAAAAAAGTTATAGATTTTTTTTCCCGTTTTGGACAAGTAAAATTTGAAATATATTTTAATCAAAGTCACTTAAGGCCGCTTTAGGATTAAATATTTCCTAAAGATACTCCGTATCCAAATTGTGCCATTTCTGGAAACACACTGTTCTTTCTGGATTGCTCTGTTGTTACAAAATAAATATTGAAATCCTTTTAACAATTTTGACATATTTTACATCTTTTCAAAAAGTTGATTAATCACATGAAGTGGATTTATTGAAGAAGAACAATGTATTTTCTTCGTCCCACAGTGGGGGATGAAATCAAGGCAGCGATCATTAATTCCGTGCTCCGTGGGTTAAGTGTCTTGCCCGAGGACATAACGACAGCAGACATGAATGAACGTTGGTGGTGAACGTCACGCAGTGGGCTCGAACCCACAACCTTCAGGCTCAAAGGCCAATGCTCTACCAACTGAGCCACTGTTGCCCAACCATAGTCTATGCACAAAGGGGTATATGCTTGTATTTCTAATAGTTAGTATCATACCTGGATACACTTCTAAGGGATGATTCTTCTGCAGAGTCAGGACCAGTGAGCGGGCAGCCGTGCTGAAAATCTGACGAGGAGCAAAGTGGACTCCATCATTCACTTGGAAGTGGAAGCCGCCGGTCAAAGCGCCTGTAGAGAAAAGCAGCTAAAGTAAATGTTTAAAAACACACAGAAGTTATATTTGTTGAATTGTTGCGTTTACCATTGTGCACAAACACGAGCTGCCCTGACTCTATGTGGCTCTGGGTGAAGTTGAGGATGTGTTTGGACGGAGCGCTCTTCAGGGACAGATGACCGTTACTGGGAGGAGTCACCACAAACTCCAGTCCCTCAGGCGGAGTGTCCAGGTCCTGGGCGCTCAGGTCATTCACGGAGATCTCTGTGACTGAGCCTGTCCACACCTGCCAACCGTGCACACCTTCACATTGTGTATTTTATATAGCAACAAATACAATGTCTATAATACTGCAAATACCATTACATCCTTATAATAACAGGCGCAATAAAATCATTAGTTTCAATCCCAGGCGTGTTGATTTTCTGAATTATCCATTAAAGCTGGGGTACCTAACTTTCTGATGCAAAGATATATACAAATTCATACAACTACAGTACTTTCTGGACTATTAAAAAGCACCTGTATGTGAACAGTACAAGCTGCATTTTAAAAAGATACATTTCTCCACCTATAGGTCACATTTCACTTTCACTTATATATGACTGTTTTAACTGGACACAAGCTTGTCAACAATATGACAAGGAGATGATCAATGTACTAAAATCAAAATAGGTGAATGAATCCAATATATTTTGGACAATAAACATGCATCCCATCCCTACTAAAACTTGTTGAAGTCAAAATAATAACGCTCTAACAATATAAATAGATACATCGTCTGAATCACAATTTACTGTAAGCCGCAGAGTTCAAAGAAACAGTTTGCTTCTATCACTAGTTTCCACATTGAGTATTTTTGACCTCTGGTACAGCTTTAACAAGAACATGTTTATGATAAGATAAGATAAAACTTTATTGATCTGACAGTGGAGAAATGTAAATGTTTCCTAATAAGGTGAAGACGGCATGTTGTCGTCTGATTTGATCACCATTTGTTAAACTACTTAAACTAAGACTCCAAATGTGAATTCATGAAAAGTTGGGTACCTCAGCTTTATTCAGACTAGAAAAATAAGTTTAGGCAACATGGGATCCGTTCTCAAGCACAAAAATCTGCTTTAAAATTCAATCACAAATGGAAATATTCACCCGGAAATCAGGCATGACATTTCAACCAGCAAAAAAAAAAAGCCCATTTTTGGACACTGAATTTTTATCAACATTGAATTTTTGGACACTGAATTTTAAAACATTAATTATTTTGACACTGAATTTTAAAACATTGAATATTTTTACAATTAATTTTAAAACATTGAACTTTTGGACACTGAATTTTGAAACATAGAATTTATTTATACTGAATACTTTTTGTTGTAATTTATATCATTCAAAAGCAAAAAAAAGTGTTGATAATAAAAACACAAAATAACCTTCATAGAGAAGCCCATGAGCACGCGTTCAGACACAAAAACAGGCCTGATGCTGCTGTTGTTTTCTGGTTGTCCTGATGACTGACCTTCAGGCCTTTGTTGGTGCTCACAGTGGGGCGTTGGTCGTTCACTGCAGTGATGAGAATATGCACTGTGCAGGGGAGACTGTGTTTCTGGACTTCAGTTTGATTGGCCACAAGGATGAAGTCGTCCGTCAGGGTTTCACTTCCATCATGAATGTACGAGATGAACTCATGCTCCACCTGAAGTGAAATAGATGAAGCAACCCAGGATTTATCGCTGCCTCATGTTCTGTGTCGGTAAATAAATACCATTAACACTGTTTTACTATTATACTGTGTGTTTTCAAGAATAAAACCGAGCTAATTTCAAATCTTTTCATTGCTAATGTTAGGACTTCCATTGCTTCCACTCAAATCGTCGAAATGAAAATAGATAAAAATTACGGGCAGATTAAGTGTGCAGTTAAAAATGACAATTGTTTCCTTGAAATAAAAGTCTTTTGTTGCTACATGGAGCGTTTTGTCTTCAGCTGTATAATTATTGATTATTTACTATCTTTATTTTTTATATTTTTGCATTCATCCTTTCTTATTTTTTCTTATGCAAGTGCAAGTTAGATCTACCCCCACAGGTTCCGGATTGAATGCAATAAATTAAAATCCTTGTTTTCTGATTATAAAAAAAAATCTGGCTGTTTTGTTATGTCCATCCATCCATTTTCTTCTTTGTGTATATATATATCAATTTTGAACACAAGCAAGTCCTGGGATCGAAACAGATGTTAACTATGAGGAGTTTGCATGTTCTCACTGTGTTTGCATAGATTTCCTCAGGGTGCTCCGGTTTCCCCTACCCCTCCTGAACAACATATTGTGAAATCTCAATAAAACCTTCCTGCACGGTTGAATAAAAGGTCAATAAAGAAAAAAAAAAAGAAAATCAGGCTGAGTTAGATATCATAAAATGTTCCGTACGCCATTTCTTTCAGAAATAGGAGCCATGCCCCAATCTGAAGTCTGTAATGTCCACATGTGGTTCATGATGGACAGTTTTCATTACATTACCTCCGCCTGAGTGAATGCACTTATGGGCATTCCAGAGATTCTGCTGTGCTCCAGATGTCCATGTCGAGGCGGAGCAACCACCTGGTACAGGAAGTTCATCCCCTCAAAGTGACGACCGTTCACTTTGATGATGTCAGGAGTGAGCTGCAGAGACGAGCCTTCATCCAGCCTCAAGTCTGACACCTGTGTGCACAATCACACACTTTAGCTGCAGTTGTGTTTTTGGGACAGAACGTCTCCATGGCCCATAGTGTCTGGGTTACATTTTTATCTGCCAGACAGTGTCATGAGTAATCTTTCATCCATCTGGCTGTGATCGTCGACATCTGGACTCTAGTCTTTAGCCTCAAAATGTTTAAAATCTCATTCAAAAAAATAAATCAAATCCATTTTAATCTAGTTTAGGGACTCCTTTATTCGTTGTAATTCCCAGCAAGAATCAAAGACTTTAAAGTCACAGTCAGAAAACGTTTGTGGGACCATAAAACATGAAGCTGGGGTATCTAACTATTATATTCATAAACAACACATTTTGTCCGTCCCATGTTGTGGACAAACCAGACCACAACACGCTGTCTTTATCTTACTATAGTAAACATGCTATCTTTGTATACAAGTTAGAAAGATTCCTGTGAGTCACTGTTTGATGCTTTGGGCTGAGGCCTGATTGTGAATCGTGAAAACTAGTGATAGAACCAAACTGTTTTGAGAAAAAGGAACTGGATTTTATTAAATAGTTTTGTCTAAATGTCTATTGTGTGTGCATATAGTAGAATTGTATCAAATTTTGTATGCATGCCTTTATATCTAATATCCACTTTTTTTTTTATCATTTGTTTGCACCATGAGATGTTGCTGCAGTACAGTGTTCAGGGTTTGCACTGGTCCAGCCCGGAGCGGAGAGGATTCATGGTCCAAGTGGATCAGGTGAAAATCCACTGGAGGAATGCTAACGTTTTGAAAATTGCTAATGAAGCATTTAGCATTTTATCTTGGATAGAGCAGAGAAAATGGTCCGAACCAAGCGGCTACTCCACCTTGTGATCTGTCCTGCTGCACCCAGAGGCTACACCACATACTGTATACTGCAGTGACCTGAAGTCATGTTGCATTTTATAATTACTATTGTTAGCTTTTTAGAATGATCAATTTATTTATTTTGTTTGTGTGGATGGATGTGTTTTTGCTGCTATTGGACACCTGCATTTCTCCTACAGGGATCTATTATATCTATCTACGAATTATCTATCTATCTATCTACTCTATCTTAAGTGGAGTATCTAACTCAACTAAATATGGATCCCCAAAACATTTTATTTATTTATTTATTTATCTACAAAAATATATATATATATTGAAATGTAGCAGTCCCATTGTTATAAACCAAATCTCTCCTAAGAATCTCTTGAGGACCCCCTCGAAAAAGAGATGATTCATCTCACGGGGCCATCCACCATAAATAAATAAATAAAAGAGACTAAAATAAACAAACTTGAATCTTGAGGATTGTGTATTTTTTTTCGTAAACAGTGAGTAATGTCTAGTAATATTAGTTATGCCACATTTTGGAACCATTTCTCGTCTTGTGAAGATGATACCTGTAGCGGTAGTAGAAGTGGAATGATGTGGACTTCCAGCCTGAGGGGTCCAGCTGTGGCCTGTCCATTTGTTACTTCCAGTAGAATTGAGTCATTTGTGCGATTTGAAGTTTGTTGATGATAAATAATCAAACCCTGGTTTATCTCTTCTTGGGAAAAGGATGATATTCCCAAACCTGTGTTTCTCTATAAGACAGTAAATAAGAAAATGGTAAGGCAAATGGGATAATGTGAAATCCGGGAAACCATCCGGACCCGAAACAGACAAATCATAGATAGTCAGATATAACATTATTAGAAGGATCTGTATTGAAAGTAAGAATATCTGGAAACAAAAATGTATGCTAGTAAGTAAAAACTCATTTACTTAATTATAAACTAGAAATTGTCATGGTGTGGACTTTCTGTTGATGTATCTGGTTTTATTTTGATATTTTTGTTTGTTCTCTTGTCGTAAGTTTTACTTCCTGTCTGTCTCGTTGATTGTTTGCCCCTCCCTGATGTGCTACACCTGTGTCTACCTGTATGTATTTAGACCATGTGCTCCTGTCCTCTTGTTGTCGGTTCATTGTTGTTTTTCCCCCATGTCTTGTTCCTGGTTTCAGTTATACTTTTTGTGGTGTTTATTAAATTATATTATTTTTGCAGTTCTGCTTTTGGGTCCTTCCTTGTTTACCCGTGACAGAAATCCAAGAACCAAACCATTATCAGTCCAAAAATATGGGCATTTTTGTAATTAGATAAATAATCCATCCTTGTCATGAATTTAATTTTATGTACGGAACAGAATAGCACAGTAAGAAACAAATATAAAACTCAACCTGGCCTGTGGAATTTCTCTGGATTGACCCAAAAGAGGGAGGACTTTTAACTGTAAACACTATATGTGGTGGTGTGCTGATCTCATGCACCACCTGGAAAAGAGAAAGTTCTCATATTTAGTAATGATTCATATTAAAATGACATAGATTAACTCTTGCCTCTAAATGTTGTGAACTAATGGAGACGTTACAGCCCTCCTCCACCTCCACAGGCTGAAGAGTGAGGACTGTTGGCGCCCTCTGGTGGCTCTCCAGGTACATTTTCACAGTTATCCCTATGTCCAAATGAACTTCTCTCCTCCCTTCAGACCTGTCACGAGAAATATGTTGCAGCAGAGATTATGATAAAGCATCCGGAGAAAGAAGAATCACTAATCATACTGTTCAAAAATATATTGCATTATTCATTTGTAGAATTATGCACTTTACCCAATGTTATGATGCATTTAAACTGAGAATTAAGTGTTTGTGTAAGATTATTTTTTTTTTTTCTATAACTATACTTGATGTGCTCACTCATTTACGGGATAAATAATGAAATGGTAACAAGATAATGGGTTGTAGCTCTAAAATACTTTTATTCATAGCACGTGAAGTTTCAGAAAGTGCACTTCTTCAGACTTTTTTTTATAAATTGGTAAATAAATTGGTAATCGGTTGAACTGGAAAAAAAAAAAAGAGTTGTTTGTATCTCAATTCAAGTAAATGTTTAGCTTCTCTTTTAAACCATGATACATTTTTGCTTGTCCCATTGGAAAATCTTGTTTTAAATAATAAACATAATGTTGTTTAATCTAACAGAAAGTAAAATGTGAAAAAAAACATGGTCATGGGATTTGAAAACCCTTTGTCTTTAGCATACTTGTAAGAAAATAAACCTGGAGGTCACTATTTAATGCTTTGGATTGAGAGAAGAGCTGATCCTGTCTCTTATTAGTTATGTGTGTAAACGATTACCTAAAAATGTGAACGAGGCCAAAATATACTGTATGTGGAAACTAGTGATAGAACCGAAGTGTTTTAAGAGAGAAACTTGGGATATTGATTCTAGTAAATAGTTAATGTTGCTGTTGTTTAATAGTTTGTAAGCGTTTCTGTCATTCTTTCCAGGTAGCTTCGACATTCCTACCTTCCTGTGTGAGAATCATGACCCCAGCTCCTCTCCCTGACCCGGGCGGTCACATTGAACACATCCGTCATCCCCTGGTCCGTCCGACATGACGTATACGCCAAACGTCCGCTGATCCAATCCTCTTGTGTGAAAGTGGAAACAGCATCGGCCTCCGTCACAAGCTCAACGCCTGTCAGATGAAATGGAGGGATTCCACTTTCCGGCGGGAGGAACACTTCAATATCACTTCCTCTGGCTCTCTGATGTCCAGATTACTGACGACGCTTAAGTTAGCAGATGTTAAGATTGTGACATCCGCCGTGTTGGACTACAATCCCTGTGTTGTTTTCCACTTGCAAGTAAGGATCTTAGACCATTACCTGCGATGGGCATAGATTCCAATGAATACATGTGTTAAAGGTGATGTCTGCCCTTCAATTGTATTTCATTTTAAAAACAATATATTTTGGACCATGTGACCCTGTAGCATCAAGGTCATAGGTCCAAGTAAGTATATCTCAAAAACAAAACATTGGGAGTCATAACAGGGTGAATATGTTGTTTTAAAATAGTAAACGTAAGATAGCTTTGTTCGTAATCTAGCTATCAAGCCAAAAGCGGCTCGCCTGTGGATATTGATAAAATCAGCCAGGATAGC